CAGACGTCGGTACCCGATATACTCCCGAGAATCGCATTTTCCATTAATACTTCGCACAGTGAGTCAATGCACAAGACGCCGTTCGAGTTACTCTTCGGTTTCACGGCAATTCTGCCGGGAGAACCCCCGAGGCTCCCCCCGGCGCAAGCGGGTCTGGTGCAAGACTTGCGACGGGAGGCCCATCACTCGCTCGAGAAGGCTCAGAGGAGTATGAAGGAACGTTATGATAGGTCTCGGGCACCTCCTCCGACTTGGTCTGCCGGGGAAAGGATGCTGGTCAGATTGAAAAAGACCCGCCGCGGCTTGTCGAAGAAGTTGCACCCGACATTTGTGGGGCCTTGGACCGTGGTGAGGCAAGTCGCTCCGCAGAGTTATCAGCTCAGAGATCCGGCCGGCCGTCTCAGGACTCTAAACGTAAAAGATCTCCGACCTTTTCGGACGCGGACGTCTCGAGCCGGTAGCGTGCCCGACTGATGCACTGCCGATGGCAGCGCCACAGGGTATAAAAGGGATAACCTTCTAATAAAGTAACGCATTATTCCCACCCTTCGTTGTCGGCGTGCTACACTATTCACCTCCTGTCACGCGCCAGTACACCGCTAAAATCCAGAATCGGCAGCGGCGGATCTTGATCATAGATCTTGAGATCATCTCGCTCTGAGGGAAAGGAGCCAAAATCAGTTGACATGAACGATCCGCCTTTCTAAGCTCCTCTTTCTTTCCCTCGGAACTGCTTGTTCTGTTGTGATCCTGAAGGGGGCGCATACGGACAGCATAGGCGTGCTGGGTAGTTCGACTTCGTGTGGGCAACCCGCCCACGTATCTGGCTCGTCGGATTTATGCTATGCACTTCATGGAGAGCTCAGAAGCCCCGCGTATCACATCGTTCCACTCATCGCTCGGCGATAAGCGAGAATCAGGTGTTTCATTAGGCGAGACGTTTTCCTTGGTGGTTTTAACTTAAAGATAAACGAAAGATATTACAGATGAACATATTATACTGCGTCAATTGACAGAGAGGAGATGAATAAAGATTGTCCTCACGAAAACTTTCAATGTTCTCTACTTAGAAGGTAATAATTATTCTCCGAAATCGAGGTGGAACTGTCCAATGCTGTGATTCGAGGACAAAAAACGGTCGCGACAGAGGAAATCGGGGAGTTGGGAAATAAGGAAATCGCATTAGAGCTGACTAAGAGTCAGGGGTCAGGGGGTCACGACGCTGTGCATATTGTAGTAAGCCGCTCAGCCTGGGACGAATTGACGTTTCTTGCGCGAGAGACCGCTTTTCTCGAACCGGTAGGCGGCTCTATCCTGAGGTGACCGAGAGTCCCTGGTTTGCATCCTCTCCGAGCAAATGTTGGAAACGTATGCACGAGCCCGATTTGTGGGCTCGCCGAGCATGACATGAACTCCCAGGCCCCCCGCTATTGCGTCGTAATCCGTACAACGCTCCGAAACATCCCCCTCCCCTCACATAGCTCCGATTCGTTTCATGAGGGAGAGAAATCAGCAGACCATCGCAGAACGGTGCGACGTCGACGTACGCTCAAGTCGAGTAGACAGTGCTAACAATCGACTGGTACGGTGCGACCATTACTGATATAGCACTGCTTCGTTGTACTAGAGCCGTTCTTCCGGTAAAGGGCGCAACGCACAGAATGCGCTGGTTCCGGGTCGCCTTCGGGCCGTGAAAGATTGTACATCATATAGATCGGGGTCGGATTCTGGAACCTTGTGTCTACGACCTGCGAAGATGAGCAACATTGGCTTTTTCCTGGGAACTCTCGAGATCCGCGGCGATTATACGGGAAGAAAATATAGCATAGAAGACATTTGCTCATTACTTCCGATCGATTCGGCCTAGCGATCCCAGACGAGCTCCAAAGCCTGAGTGCATCGGGGTATATCTCCAATTTCACGGAGAACCTCGTGCGGAATTCATGTTCATAGCTGACTCCCGAATAATTTCTTCGGGCTGAGTCGATGCGATCATTTGCTTGCGCGCGCAAAAGAATCGCAGTTTGTCTGAGGAGAGAACGCGGTATAAGCATGAAATAGGATCGAATCTTTTGATTGAGGAGTGAATTAATGAAGAATAAAGCGGGGCTGAGATGCACCTGATGCAGTCGTCCCCATCTTCCCTCTTCGTTTTCCAGTTCCGCATATATTCTATAGACTCGAACTGGAGGCAATTGCTCCAATAATGGGAATAGAACTCGGTCTTCCGCTTGGCAACAATTAGAAAAAAGTCGAATGTCTGATTAGGCACCAGGCTCAGCTCAAAATCTATTTTGAACTGGAATGGAAGTTCCAATGGAGATCGACCATTGAGGAGAGAGCCGATCACTGATCTTGAGGTGATTTCGAGCGGAGTTCCTCATACCGTGTGATGATAGTAGTACCCCATCTCTATGAGCCGTGAACCTGTCGGTATGGTCTCGTATAGGATTTGGCTCAAACGCAAGCTCTCATCCCGCACGGAGAGGATGCTTTTATTGTCACACCAAGACGTCATAATCTTGAGCTTTTGGGTAATGTCGGATTCCGATTGCGAGCTTGCACGCAAGAAGTCGAAGGGATATAGCAGCGCCACCACAACCATTGTGATAAGAGCCAACGTGACGAGCACAGGCATGGTGTGACCACACCTGGAATCGATAAACTCAAGGAACTAATGAACTGAGAGGATTCCCGGGCATGGCAACGTGATTATCGGATGTTTCCCCGAAACTGACCTTTCGCTGCTTCCCGGAAGAGCTAAGACAGCCCTGTAATCGTACGCTCCGATTTCTTCGGGCACATCAGGCATGCTCACGGAGTCTTCAGAAAACATCTGCGTCGATTCGATCTGGAATCGCTTAGCGAGCGGGAATGCTCGACGTCGTCGTTGTCGCCGATAGCAGCAATAATGTTTCCCCGGAAAGGCCGATCGATCATTGACGGCAAGCAACCCATCCTTGTCTCGACAAGCTGACTGTGCCGAGCGATCTCTCAGCAAGTCAGCGCAATCTTCAGACTCCAAGAAAGTAGCATCAAGCCCCAAGCTGTAGACCATTATCAGTAAGTATTAGTGTAAATGTAAGGACTCTGTGCTCCGTCCGTCGCCTCCTCGAACGCAAACCTCAGGAATTAGGATGTGCGTCCGGTCCGTTCGATTCCTAAATCGCGTCGAGCGTTCGGTTCACAATCGATACTCGAACGTCCCTTCCCCCCTTCCAAGCTTGCCATCGATCGCAGCTTCGTTGAACTACCTATTTTGGGCAGACTGCGAGCTGACGTCTCATGCTCCGACCTGTCTGCTTGTCTCGAGGAATCGCAGCCATCCTGCGATCCCTACCATGGCTTGAAGCATCGCATGAGTGCGACCGTTCCAGCGGCTCCCTAGCTTCTGACGGGGGCGTTCTCAGCCCCTGTCCGGACCCGATGAGCTCCGTCACTCTCCCGGCCGATTCTCAAGGACGCTACGAGAGGTGGTTCCTCTTTATTCGAGAGCTCCCGACTTTTAGCCCCCGATTAGCTAAGGGTGAGCTCGGGAGACGCCGGAGAGCCATGTGACCCTTCTCGCCGCTCGTGGAAGCGAATACGGAGCCCCGATTCCAAATGCCACGAGAAGTGCTCTGACTGTGGGAAGGACACACTCGACATGGGGAGGTCGCTGCAGACCCTGATCGTTGGAAGAAAGTGCGCCGTCGATGGTGACGTCGCAGCTGTGCGCCGGCGGCAACAGCCGCTGCCGGAGATGACCTTCGGACATTACTGCGCGCAATCGCATATAGCGTGAATATACTTGTTGAAGAACAGTCTCGAAAATACGAGCATTCCCTGATGTAGTCGAAGGTCTTGAGGGCTTGAAATAGATAGAAGGGCAGCCTCAAATAAGTATACGAGCAGTCTCTGGTGATTGGGAACCTTCTAGAGTCAAAAATCAGATATCCATGACCGCGGGACTGGGAGATAAACCGAATCAAAACCTCGGAAAGGGCTTGATAGACTGTTCTGCATGCGTGTATTACGGATCTCGCAGTGGTTGCAGTCAAAGGAACCTTGGCTCTGTTCTCATCTTGGGTAGTTGAAGGAATGGAGCTCCGTCTAACAAACATGCGGGTTTTTATTTTTCGAGCGGTAAAAATAGAGAAGAAAGCTCGAAGATAGCATGGTTTACCATCAGGATATTCAGGGTACTTATATTCTGGCTTCATCAGCGGACTCCGCAGAGCGACGCTCATTGGGGGAACAAAGGATCTCCCATTCCTTGCAAGCAGCTGCTCCAGTCCGGGCTCCATGGCACATGTTGCCGAACCTCCGCAAGAACCGAGAGCTCTTTTTCCTCGGAACCCGTCACTGCTCCCGGGAATACAAATCCGTTATCCGAGAGCAAACGCTGTATGATGTTCACATTAGGAATGATCCTATCCCTTTCTATTCCCGAGTTTCTCCATGGCAACATCCTCAATCTGCATTGTGAGGAAGACAACCAGAAACTGGGTATTCACCAGGAATTCAATGGCGTATCGTGAGCGGGTCTCCTGACGAGGCTAACGGGCCTCCTCGGAGCTGAAGAAGAATCCAGACTTCCAACCCCCAAAAAGGACCCGCTCGATGCATACGTAGGCGAAACGCTTGGTGAGATAGTTCGGAAACGACGAACGAGAACGAGTTTCTGACCTGTTCCTCTCGATACAACTATCGATGAAAGACCTAAGAATCGAATGTCTGCCGCGGGCGGAATGATTAGGAGGATCGGAGAAACTCCGATTCCTTCGTGATCCACAATCGAGGGATCTGCATCGAAATAGAAACTCTTCCAATTCAAAACCTGATGCGAGAGAAAGATCGATGGGTTCGCCTTGTCCTGCTCGGGTATCCAGCAAAGATCATCGGCAGCATTGCCCCCGCTCCTCTCCACCGACGAAAATACAACTCTCGCAGCATATATCCCTAATCCCGACTCCCAACTAGCCTCCCTTCGGACTCCCTTGTCATGGACTCGCCTTCTCAGGAGCGATACTATGTGACTCGATGGTTCGCACCGAAGCACGAACTATAGGGCGTCCGCATCGAGAAATTCAATTTTTCTGGAGCTGTATCAGCCAGCTGGGAGAGGGTAGTTCAGTTCGAACACCTGACGACCTAAAGCGTAAACACGGTCTCTCCTCCCCCCTCTCAACAATCATCATTTGGTTCTTCCTCCCGTAGTGTTGTGGCTGATGGTGGTGAAGGAGCAACAGAAGCCCTGATCGGAAATTTGTGTTGCTTTTCGACGTTGTTGAGAACAAGCGTAGTCGAACCAACGTGGCGACCATTGTCATACGATTAGGGATGAGATGAACGCGAGGCACAACAAATTTGAGTTCGTAAGTTGACCAATGTTGAATAGATGTTATCAAACTTCGTCGCAGTGATCTTCGCTGCTGGTTGCGATGCTGCTATCTCTGCTTTCTCTGCAGCTCTGCTTGTTTTACGGTACTTCCCGATCCTATCAATTTACTTCGACAAAAAGCAGCTGCTTCGAGTGAATGAGGCAGCCATCGACGATTTTGACGGTGGCCGCTTCTGTGGCCGCGGCAGCAGCGCAAATCGCTGCTCCAATAGTGTTTACCATAGAGTTCGTACCAGAGAAACGGATTCTGGGCAAGAGAGACGACTTCTCTTGTTGATACGTGTTCTGCTGGGAGCCTACCCACGGCAAGGCAAACGGTCACAGCGCGCGACCGAGGGAATCCTCATCTCGGTAAACGCATCTAATACCTCGATTTTTGTGACGAATCCCTGAAGGGCTGACGGGAATCTTCGACAAAGACGATTGGGTAGCTAAACGGAGCCTCCTCGCATGCACGCACTCGCGATCTCGTCGTGTGCGTCTTGAGCGTATCGCCCGTATCCGATGAGGGTTCCTCCGACGATGTCTCTATATTCACTCGGACGACACAATTTAAGCTTTCAAATCTAGAAGGGTGACTCCTCACTCACGAAACTTGGTATCCCGGACTTAGACAACAATTTGCAGGGGGAGGAGCTTATTATGGCGAATCGATGCGTAATAGAAAGATGGGGTACGCATATCAGCTACGTGCTTCCGCATCAGCTAGCTTCTGCAGAACTCCCTCGAGTACGAGTACATTCGCACACGCAATCTGCTTGATCTGATTCGCGAAAACGATGATCCCTTCGAATGTCGGGGCAAACTCACACTTGAGATTCTCTACGGATTTGTCGATGGCAGCTGAATGAGTGCCTCTTGTTGGGATTCGTTCCGAGCGTACTCGGTCATTCAATTTTCGACACGTAGGCTGAAAACCTAGAAGTGGAACTATAGTTCGGAGAGTTCATGCTGGTCACGAAGCTCCAAGGTGATTTATCAGGAACCCGATACGCAGAGGGCGCCTCGAAATATTCGTCTCCAGAAAACTTCCTCTGGACGTTCTTGATGGACGTATAATTCAAGCCTCGAGAGCAGAGACCAAGCCGAACGAGTCTTTCCGAAGGGCTTTCTGGGATCTGGGTCCTTCTTCTCTTCGGGGAGAACTCTTTTTCATCGAAACTTTGCCACATCCGATAATTTTCCCTTTCAGACTCTAGAAGGACGCCAAGTTCAGGAAGCTGTGACCGGCCTCTTCCACACTCTGCTGTTTTTTAGGTCGACGGGAAAGGTTAGTGCTATAATTATCCCGTGCACTCCACAATATCTTCCGACCAGAGACAGATAGGAAAAACGGAAGGGTTTATATATCTCATCGCAGTCGGTGAACCCTAGCTTTCCGGCTTCCCCGCAGATAGAAGGGCGGGAGTAGATTTCGGACTTGAGATTCATTCGGTGCTCTACGATTTCCCAATCGGGACTCTCGACTATGAAGCGATTTTTCTCTTACAGTACCACTACAACGAGAACGGGTCGAGTTACGGCATTGGAACTATCGGTTTTGAAGACGTAACGTGTGATTTCGTTGATTTCACCTATGTGAGTTTTCAACGAAAGCTTATCTGTCATAAAATTCAGTCATCTTTCTGGATGACCTCCTGGTTCTCATTCCTCATCTTGTTGAGCAGGTGAGAGCTTCTTCGGATGAGCTGAATCGTGATATCTCGCAAGACGTAGCTCTCTTCAGCAACGCTCTCAGAAGTACCGAAGGAACCGGTGGAGTTCAAGAAGGACAGATCCAGCTAGAGTTCTATCAGAAGAAAAAATGGCGTTGGCCTTTCACCTACGAGAGTATACCGTGGGAGATTTGGATCATGAAGGTCAACATAGTGAACCTACCGAATGAATCAGGTGATTACGCTGCCCGTCCTCTGGAGGACCCTTCTCTTCACATTTCACCTCCGTAGCTCACGCCCGCGTTTCGTGACTAGGCTCTGAGCAAATACTTTCTCCTATACGGAGACTCGCGACCCGTTCCTTATGCGCTTGTCGGTCCGAGCTGGTTCCGGAATTTCAAAGTTGGATTCATTCACAGAACGTCAGAAACATCGTTGCACCGCTGGAGAAGAGCTCGCCGAGGCTGTCTGCTCCGTTGCATCGGCGATGAACCGTAATGAATTCGTTCCTCGAGCGAGGCTCCGTGAGGATCTGGACCTGATTTTCGAGACGAAGTATCCCGACATCCAGCCCTACCTATTCAAGGTTCGCCACGAATAGCCTTGATATTGCTTTGATGTGCTGTCTTCTTCTTCTCATAGGTCGCCAGGTCCACCAGCTCAGTCCATTCCCCGAGACGCGTCTCCCTTCTGGCCCCGATCCCTCTTTTGATTTTTGGCCATTTCGATTGCAGGTCGCCTATCAGACCAATCTGGAGCCCACTTCTCCGTCGATCCCATCGGCCGTGAGGAGGATTTTTCGCGACACGTTCGCTCTCTGAATAGAGCGATCAGAGCCCAACTGAATCTACTTGAGCGTTTTGCTGATTACGATTTAATGTGGCTAGGTTCTACGCGACTCGAATGTAGACCGTAGTCATTACATCATTCATTAACCTCATTATTATGATTAATCATAGAATTCTATGATGGAATACACGCGGATCCATCATGGCTCGACGTTTCATTCAGAGGAACTCTCATCACATGGTCTCATAACAAGAAAAGAGTTCTCGACAAGCGTTATGTTGTCTTAGTCGTCAGACGAAACAGACAAGCAACAAACCAATCAAACGAGGAAGCGGCAGAATGAGGGCAAGAAGTCGGCGCGACGGCGAAAGGCCGACCCGCAGAGAATCCTAGGAACAAGAGGATGAGAGAGAGGCATACAAAAGACAGCTTACACTTACAAACGGAAACACGTTTGAGTACATAGTTGTACGGTGTACATCATGTATGATTGTATATAGGAGACTTTTCGATGTTTCATTGAAAGGCCTCCCAGCATCGAATAATTCGTGAGCTGGAAACTGAAGCGAGATGTCGGTGATTTGAGCAAGCGTTCTCCTTTCCTCCTTGAGATGCATTCGCTCTTAGAACATTTAATAAACAGTTTTTCACTTTACCTCTGGTATGGGCATCATTTTCACTTATAGCCTGCTCGAATATCTCGGATCATCCATCTGTGCGATCGTCCATCTCGTAAGGGGAATGAGGACGGTTCGTAGAGGCTTTTTATATTTTATTCGACTCTGGTTTAGACGGGGTCCCGCGACCCGTCCGGACGGTTTACATTACAGAGCGTTGCTTGATCCCCCCGACGCAAAACAATTCCTATCGACGCGGCATACTTCCGTGCCGTCCCAGTCCTCGACATACGTTTTAAAAACTTTCGTTGTGCACAACGAATACCTCGATGTCGTCCTCAGCTGTGAATAGCTTCTCAAAAAGGAGATTCCGTCTATGTATCTTCTGCTCACGTTCCTGTCGTTTCCGAGTCAAGCTGGATATGGCTCGGGCACTCGTTTCTCGTTCGAAGCTCATCGGTCGGTAGTGCTCACTGCTTTGATCCTTAGCCTCAGGAAAATCGAAAGCCGCTCCCGAAGAAGCGCGAACTCCCGTCACCTCGTGCTCGTCTTCGGGTACGCTTTCGTACTTCAGACTGGAGGACAGTCTTTCGAAAACTGCGCGGAGCGGAGTCTGAATATCGAGGAGCGATCGGCGACTCAGTCTGGGGTCCATTCCGATGCTAATATCAATGGGTATCGTATCCCAGAGTACTCACATGTTGGGCAGTAGTGTCGAATTTGCGTGTTGTCAAGTCGAACCTAGTGGTCGGTAAGCGGATATGCATTCTTCTCAGTTCGGTTCCGCTGCGAGGAATTGTTCAACCGGGAAAGAAATCATCGATACCCATCGCAAGCGCATCCTGATAACCATCACGTAAGCAAGTGCTCGAGAGGCACCTGTGTGAATGTGTGAATATGGACCAGCGGTCGCAGAGCTTACTCACAATATCCAGTATAGTAAAGCGACGAGGATCGCCGCCGAGAAGAAACCAGAACCGATCACGACGGCTGCAATCGTAACAGACATCGTTGAAGATTTTACCGCCAGCGGCCTCAATATTCGGACGAAATCCCTTCAACATTCACACCCACCCGAGCGCAAGCTTGTCGATGCCCCGGCCTCGATATGCGGATACATCGTTGTAGTTTCAGGGCCATGAATTCTTCCACCGAGGGTTGTGATCTCATCCGGAGCGTGCGGCACTCGATAAAAAACCGAGTCGCTGAGAGAATTCTCCTTTGCGCTCGAGACGTCCGGATCGATACCTGGTAGAGCATCGTTCCTCTGGCGAACAGTGTTTCGAATGGGATGCATTCCTACTCTGGTCGAACTCTGTGGGCAAACTAATTTGTTTGCCCACAAATCAGAACAGTTCCCTGCTGTCAGCTGTTTTGCAAGGCTCCCGAGCAGTGCCGAGACGTGCACGTAGCGGAAATCAATCCCGAATACTACACGGGAATATATACTTCACGGAAATCTCGCTTCGTTCGATATGCGACGTCCCCTCACGAGCTCCTAACCCTGAGTCCTGTGAGAGTGTCGGTGCGATTTAATCAGGAAAACGATCTCTGATGGTGAGCATCTCGGCTGGAGCCCCAGACTGACAGGCTTCAAGTCGGCTGTTCGCTGTCACTCTGCCTCGACGCTGGAAGATATGAGTCCAGCTCCCGTGTTCCCAAGTTCGTTCCGCGCGAAGCCCATTTTATCTAAATTCGAATCAGGAGACATTTCCGCCACGTTCCGACGGAAACTGAGCGATCAGACTGGAGGGTATCGCTCTAACTCTAATGATAAGAAGGCTCTCGGATCGATGATTGAACGGTGCTACACGGTGGCTGTGTCGACCATATGGTTGCTGCTGAAGGGATCGCGGAGATCATTTCATTTTCCGCAGCAGTGTATTCGATTCGATGATCTCGCCGTCAATCGGATAAATATCCGGGATAAGGGCTTGAGCTCTGGCGAAGCGTGGGGGTGGCTCTGCTGAATTCGGGAGAAAAGCGACATTATTGTATCAAGGAGTCGGAATCGGAATGTTTTGATCTCTTGGACAGCGGCTAGACGATCCGGAAAATGCCAGAAGTCCAAGCTGAAATCACTCCCTCAACTCCTTGTCCCAGAGGGGATCCACTCGTTACGGAGGCCCGTAGCTCGGCCGTCCCTGCGAGGTTTCTCGGTCTGAATTTCAATTTTTTGGTTGACATTTCGTCGATGTGCTCCCGGCTCGATCGTCCTGTGAGACTGGATTTTTCTGATGGAGCGCCGAGTCGAGCGAATCGTTCTGAAGGTATTGAAGCGAGGTGATTGACAAGGTGGGGACTTGACGTGACGTCACCAAGGGAGGAGGGCATAGAATCAAGCTGGTTGCCTGCCAGCTCACTCGCTGCCTGTCTGCGCACCCTCCCCTCAGCAGGTCGTCTCCGCTGCTCGCCCTGCGTGTGCTGCTGCTGCTGCTGGTGGTTGTGGTGATGGTGGTCGTCGTTTTCGCCGTGGTGGTGGGCTCGTCTATTTGAGCTCTGTATGTTCGAAGCTGGTGCATTCTATTTCCGATCCCGATTCACATACCGAGAATCGGACCGGGTTCAAGCACCGTACTTTCCTCGAAACAGCCTGGTGGTGGTCAGTTGGCCTCTGCTGTTAGGGAGCAGGGTTTTTGTCGGTCTCGGCCAGCCCGTCACCCCATCTACCTGTCGCCCGACCGATCAGCACGTATCTGAGGCAAACCGGCGATTGATCCGAGTGATCGACTGCTCCTCAAAGTCATAAAGCGGAGTGAGCCGAGCGGTTGATGACGTCCCAGGCAGCGAGAATCATGCAACGCGCTTCCACGAGATGAACACGAGTTCAGGGGCGACAGTGCTTGCCGTGCAATGTGAGAGCGTTTCCCGCGAAACGCCCAGCGTGCCGGTGATCGTAGGCCTCATAGTCGGCTGTAAAACAGCTACTCAGTGCTTCTAGTTCAACCGCGTGCTCCAGTGTCCTAGGTGAGTGGAGTGGAGACAAAATGTTACCTATAGAGCAGATGTTCGAAATTTTACGGCGAGTGACGTTTGACTCTGTTAGAGCCATCAAACTCTCTTCGGGGTCCATGTTATCTATCGCGGTAGAGGCGAGACTTCGTCTTCGAAGGTACCAGAATCGTTGTATAGCTAGCTTTGTTCTACTGCTTACGCGCACCCGTCGAGGGTGCGCACTCGACGCGGAAGCTACGGTGAAACATGTGCCGGTCAGAATTTTTCAACCGAATTCACGAAATTTTCGCGCGCAGCTGATGCATCGATTTGGTGCCAAATTGCTCGCAGCTCCTCGTGAACGATTGAGGGGCGTCGGGAAGAGAGTCGATGGAAATTTCCCTCCGACCGGTGATATTCCTGCTCTCATAATGGGTCACCAGCCTGGCATTGGAGTGGAGCAGAATGGATCGGAGCGATTCCCGACGATCCGATCGATGGAGCTCCTATGAGGATCTTGGAAGGATCTTCGCTGGCAGATCCGGCTGTCCGTACTCGACTCCTCAGCGAATGCGGAAATTCTCATGGCATCAAATCGCTGCGGTGGCCGCGAAATTTCTCTCACCGCCATTCGGAGCACCACCGACTTAGATGAGAGGTCGGAGTTTTTCGGAACGAAGCAATCGACGTTCGTTTAAAGCAGGGGAGGCCGGATCAAGCCTTCAGAGCGATGGAATTAATTCGGTGTCCCACAGAAAGGGCACAGAGTTTCAAGCATGGGATAGCCTTGCCGCGCGCTCTTCGGTGAGGGCCGTGACCCATTTCTCACTGCAAACGTGACCAGCCCCGGAACATCGTAGCGGGTCTCTCCACCTTCTCCAATCGAGCAGCGAACGTTCCATTTTCTTCTATCTTCGAGAGAACTCCAGTGGAACTCGATGCGGAGGTAGGAAGTTCGAGAAGGTAGTCGACCGCGATGGGTCCACTCTTGAAGCTTTCGCCAAGCTCCAGATGCAGTGAGGAACGCGCTTCACAGATTCTCCAACGGACGGCGACGTTGAGGATCATAATCCATCACTCGAGGCTCTGATGACTGCTGGTCTGAAGGAGGCATTCGACGGTCACCTAAAGTCTCGTTAGAGGATTGCGGCGAACCGTCCAGCAAATTCTGACAGCCAAGTGGTCAAACGGTTGCATTGTCCCGATTCTTTTCCCCCATTCGCAATTATTCATCTGGAGCGCCTGTGCCGAGAAGACTCGTCCTCCGCGTAGGGACTGGCGACTAGGGGGAGCTTTCACACCAGTCCGATGGACAGAGGTGATTAGTTGCTTCGGGTTCTCCGGGAGATATTGGATAATTTCCGTAGAAGTCCGATCTCTGAGGCGCGATCTCTGCAGGCTAGTCTAGAAGCAGGGCCAGGTGTTTTCTTTGCTTGCATTCGGTACGAGAGCTCTTATGTCAGTCGATAGCGCGAATGGGTGGAGGGGTGTGGCTTGTGGTTTCTTGGACGGTCCCGGATTACGCCTTACCTTGGATACCTTTCGTAGAGGATTTTCACGAGAAATGAAGCTCTCATGCGAGCCGGTCGACTTAGGATGACTCGATGGAAGCTCACTAATTCTCCACAAGGAAGTTTTCGATTGTCATGCAATTAGATATTACTCTGTTCAAGATCGTCTGCCTCGATTCTGAGAAATGTGCGATCCAATCCAGGCGCGATCACTTGCTCCAAGGCCCGATGTTCTGCGGACTAATCAACCGAACCCAGCAACGGCAATGAAACAGGTTATCGCTCAAAACAGACAGAGATTCCCATTGATCACATGAGAGTATAGGGACGAGCGCTGCGAGCTGTTCTGTTTCTGCCCGTTATCGGAAAAGAATCGTTGAGCTGACTAGAAATTTCGCGCAGATCCCGGGCGAGATTTGCGACCGCATCCCCTCCTTACGGTACGGCAACGTATTACTTCCCTGAACGACGCCGGATCGGGGACCGAATAGCGGATTCGGATCCTCGGCGTAAGCTGAGCGACAGACCAGAGGCGGAGATTCTCCGACGCCGCAACGACCTACCACAGCCCGAGCGACAGCTTCTGAATCGATGCAATCGTCCGACCCATGGAGCGTACTAAAGAATTCGTTTCGAAAGCCGGGCGCTGCGCAGTTCGCGCGTTGCAAGGCTCCAGCGGTCGCCAGAGAACTCTGACGAATTCCAAAAGAAGATGCGCAGACTCAGTGAATTTCCCTATACGAGTAACCCGGTACGTGGCGATCAATGAGACTCACGAGTTCTTCCGAATTTTTCCGTCCCCGCCCCAACTACGGATTCGGAGCCCTTACCAAGCTGGGGGTCGACGTCGTAATTCCATATCCTGATCCTTCTCCTGTTTTTTTTTCGTCGACAAGATTCCCCAATCGGCCCCGAGTGCAGGCGCATACGGGACGAGCGTCCCCGTGACAGGGGGCAGTTGCGAAGCAGGATGAGTATTCCACCTCCAGGTCGGGTTTTTCGTCATCCCCGATAGATTGTTTCGGACGTACGAGAATTCAAGCCCGAGAAAATTCTGAGAGGGGTCGAACGAGTCCTAAATTAAGGAAATGGACCGTTCGTGAATAATGTCATGCAGCCCTCGACCCCTCGACCTTGCGACGAAGTGTGTGCAGAAGGGTGGCGTCGTCAGGTCATTAGATTGACGTGTGGATCCTCACGTACCCAAGATGACGTATGGCATAATACGGTCTAGGGAGGGATCAGAAACTTGCGAGCCAGATTTTTCAATTTTTCTAATTTAGGAGACTCAGGTCGAATATCGATCGGATCGGCATAGTCCGCGGCGATCGCGGATTTTCGTGTCATCTCAATGAATGAGTCGCTCTCTTGGCCTCGGCGGATGAACTTCACCGATTTAGCCCGGCTATTCAACCTTATTCTTCTCTTTCCAGGTTCCTAGATGAGCCAGATTCAAACGAGTGTGGAATTTTCAGTTGAACTGCAAAGATTCATCAATGTTGACCTTTTCCAAAGAGGGTAAGCGGACACTCCAGAAGCGAAGCACGCCGAGCGTGAACTCGTCACATCCAAGCAATCGCGGCCGGCTGTTCCCAGCTCGGAAGCATCACTCTCCTCAAACCGGGGAGACGCTATCTCTGCCCCGAGTCTGCCTCTCTGAAATATCACCAAAGGGGCGCTCTCGAGCCATTCCGGAAACTTTTCCAGAAAGGCAGCAATCAGGAAAAATACCGCGGGAGATCTACATTGATTTTTGTAGTGGCATCTGCAATTCTTAGCGGACAGCCCTGTCCGAGGACTCACATTCCGAGCAAAGCGACGTTGCTGCGGGAACGGCCCCGTCTAGAAGTAGATAACGCGGGAAGTTTTCCCTTGAGACGCCGAGAGTTCGGCTCACGTTCATCTCTCAAGTCTCCTATGCTAGGTTTCGTTCTTGGAGCTGATGCTGCTTTTTTTTCAACAGATTGTACCAGGTTCGATCGACCTTGCGAAATTCACCCCGGCTGCCATCGAAAGTCGAAGTTCTTGTTGATAAATCTAGTTCCAGTAACCGATCGACTGTCAATCAGTTATTGCTCAACTCTTATGTCATCAATGAACAGACGGCCGTGTCGAAGACTTTCCAGATCCTGTATCGGAATGAAGAGATCATACTCGACGACGTCATCACCTTCCGAGTTCACTCGCTCGTCGATGGACATCGGGTACGTCTGTCTAGCATAGCTAGGAGGTCGTGCTCATGGATGGCGTCTCCCATCCCTTTCGATGCTCGTAGAAAACGATTTTCCATCCCTTCCGATGCCCGCAGAAAACTCACGATTTTCCATCTCTCAGGTGAAGGAACACCTCACCAAGGGTGATTTCCAGATACTCGTGGAGCTCTGGCACACCGATCAAAACTTTGGGTCAGTACCGAGATCGACGGCTCTTTCTATGAGCGGCGTGCGCGAGACTACTTATCGACTTCAACGTTGGAGGCACCGCGCTCGCATAGGGTCTAATTGTGTTCCTCTCATTTTCGCAGCGATTTGAGCCTTCACAAACGTTTTCACTGCGTATCCAGTCGGCACCTTATTTTGCATTTCGACGCGTTCCGTGGACTCCACCATCACATACCTGTGGTATTCGACTATTTTCATTTGTCGGGTATAACGCTGACCGTCCACGGCTCTTTGGTAACCTTGTGTCAACCGATCCAGGGGTGAGCTGTTCCCCATGTCTTCATGCCCTTCTCTCCAGCAGCGAATCCTAGTCACATAGAACGCTGGATGACCGAATCGGATAATATCCCAAGTCGTCCTCCGCGTCGTATTTTCCTCTGTCATTGATTCAAACTCCGATTCGATGATTGCAGATGTGGCATAGGCCAATGGTTCGGTTCGAGTCCGCGATCGCGGAAGCTGCAAGCGACTGCGATGCCTTCGCAAGCGGGGATTACGATGGAGAGCGTTTATTTCCCTCAGCAGGTAGGCGCTGATTGGTACCTCGCGTTGATTCGATTGAATAGTATGCTTTTCTCCCGTGCCTAGCACAAGTCCGAAGCTGTGTTGCTTGCAGATCCTTGGTTACACCATGAATATTTTTGAGTTTTTTAAAAGCGTAAGTCATCGATCTATGATGCACTGGTCTCGAACCGGTTCGTCGCGTAGGCTCCAAACATTGCTTTTTGATCCCCAAAACGATCGAGACTCGACGGCTTCATCTTTGGCCTTTCCTTCCTGCAGAGCGCAATGAAGAAGGCCGTGCGCCAACAGAGGGCCTGCCTCGTTCATTGGGACATTTGTTTACTGATGCTGAGCGCTTGTGGATCTCTCGAACGCCGACTTCTGGAGTATCTGAAACTGCTCTCGCCGTGGCAGCAGTTGCAGCTCGAACAGCTAGAGGCTCTGAAGCTCAATGCCAACCTGAGGGAGTCATTGTCTGAAATGGCAAGACTCTGCATTGACTACCTGAAGGTTGCAAAACTTCAGCCGCCACCTTGGGATAAAATCTTCAACGTGGCCAAGGTCCGTTTTCTTCCCTCTGAAGTTCCGCCTCGGTCCATTCTCTGGGGCTCATATCCAGATTCACTGATGGAGCCATCGAAGCCAGGTATTAGGTAACTATCCTTATAATAATCGTTGCAGAACACCGACTGTGATGACGACTTTCTGATGATGGCCAATAGCGACATCGCCCAGTTATGCGGCGCTCTCATCGTGTTATGGCAGCAGTTCCTCCAAGTGGCGCTGCGTCAGGAGAAGATCAAGCAATTTTTGGCTAGGCAGCGGCATTCGCAGCGCGTCAAGCGTTTCGGGGAAGGCTACTTCATAATTGAAAAACCCCGTTCCGCCATAACGGCCGTCTGTGATTCGGGCAATTTCTTGTTCAACGAGGTGACCGAAAGCTTGCGGAAGTCGACGTACTTGAACACAATACCCCCCCTGAGTATCGAGTGTCCTGAGACCGACGGTAATAACGACACGCTCCCGATCATCTACGAGGAGCACTACCAGGAATTCAAGGCGACTCGTTTGTCGTGCACCTTTCTCGTGAGTCCTTGTGCAACCTCCTCCGCCGAAGCCGCTGTCGACGCCGGCAAAAATTCCTCAGCGAGATTCCTAGCGTCGCAAGCATCCTCTCTGGCGCGCTCGGTTCTTGACTCCGAAATTACAGTGCGTCAGTTGCTCATGCAACTCAATCAACACACCAACAGTAAGGTACGTTGCCGCCATTCCCGCCGTGTGTCAGCATGATCTACCGGACATTCTATCGTCCCCGATGAAATCATAATACAATGCCGAACTGAGGGATTCGCTCTTCCAGAATCGATTGAAATCGCGTTTCTTCAGACAATTGAAGAAAGGCTCGCGCTCGAGATCATCGTCAAGCGATGCTATAAACAACAGCGAATCGATGCCGGACCTTGGACACTTCAGCACTGGATCGAAGCTGAACATGGGGGAACTAGACCTTGCTTCCCTGAATCTCAACGAGCTGCAAGATAACTCGACATCGTCAGCCGAAAGCTCCGCAAATAATTCACTTCGAGAAGATGCGAAGAAGAAAAGAAAGAAGATCAAACACCGGAGATCCATATCGAGCTCGCTCGTGTTCGCCAAACTCCTTCAGAACCAGAACAGAAAAGACTCATTCGACGATGTATTCATTCAAGGTATGTCTCGCTATGGTAGTGAACCCGGAGTAAAAGCCTGCTCTCGATTCAAGTGCTCAATATTCAAAGAAGACTCTTACGAATTTCGTTTCATCATCAGCGCCCTCGAACGTTTCCACGAGTACGTTAGGCAGTGCGAAGACGAGTTCTGGTTACGGTGGTTCTTGCACGCCTCCTGGGACACCTCTACCGCCGGAGGGTTTTCGTGACTCGCGTTCGCCGCTCTGCCATTCGGATCCGCATAGCCAGCGCGGTTCTCACAGCGGGAGTCCACCTGACGAGAGCGCAAGCGCCTGTAGTACCACCAGAGAGGAGACATCACCTTCTGAGAATTCCAAGTCACCTACCATCCCACCGAGCGGTCTCGATCCCCCTGCAACTGCACCAAAAGCGACTGTCGACGAGGTACGTTCTACCTGCGGCAAAAAGGCAGTTGAGGTTTTAAGGATTACTACCGTTCTACGCACAAACATCAAGATGAATGAAAGCTTCTGCCCTTCTCCAGGACGACGCCAAGGTCGGTATGGCGACAGGAAGAGGAGCAGCCGAGGAACCAGGCTTGGAAGAACAAAAGGAGGAAGGTCAAGAACATAAAGGGAACGCAATCGTTGACGTCGAGGGGACCAATGCCGGAGAGAAATCAGCTCCCAAGACAGAGGAGGTTATTATTGTTCGGATTCCATTTTCTGTCGATAGTCCACTCGAACAGTGACCTAGCTACCTCGATATTTCCATTGGGAAGATATTCCTTGTATCGGTTGATGCTCGATCGGGAACTTCTGATATTTTAGGCCTATGGGAAGCTTCCTTTTAAGATGAGCATCGAGTTTCTGATGGAGGCTTGAGAAGTCGATATTACAATTCTAGAACCTCTGGTTGCAGTCAATGAGTAGCGCGCCGTCAACAGCGCATCCGGAAGGAATTGTGGAGAAATCAGAAAGCAAGATCGAGCGGCAGGGGGAGGCCGGAGCCTGTAGCACAACTCCGACGAATACGAACAGTTCGACAAATCGCACGAGCAGCGTTGAGAGGTGTTCCCTGGAAGTCGAGGGAACGATGTTCTTCCCCAAGCCGCCGAAAGAGTTCGCGGAGTCCAACTCGGAGAGGAAAGTGGAAACCTCGAAACGCGCAGATACGAGCTGCGAAAAAGGCACGGAAGAGTCAGAAGCGACGCCAAGCCCCTCGACGCTACAATGCGCTTCCAGGGCCAATTCTAAAGGTCGGTAGTGCGGTCGGTAACGCGTATTCTGTTTGCACTGCGATAAGGGGCGTAATCCGCGCATGAAACGAAAATTCCAGATCCGCAAGAAGATGAGTCATACCTGAACGCCAAGTGCACCATAATGGAAATGCTCACGGACCTCGAAGCCAAGTCCGCCGCAGCGAGTGCGTGCGCTGGAGCTTCGCTTCAAAGCGGCCTTTTGTGCGATTTGGATGAGAGCGAAGAGGACGGAGTTGCCTTCAGGAGAGCTTCAGCTATTAATTCGGATCTTCTCGACTTTGTACAGGCGAAAGAGGATTTCAGACAACAACTCAATCTGCCTTCGTGGTTGTGGTGAGACTCGACTCCCAAGGTCTTCTATTTCCTACTCTCGAGGACGCTCGACGAAGTCGAGCCATCTCTCGACGGATGAGAGGATATCATTGAAAAATCTCATCTCCGGATCCACAGGTGCAGCGATTTTCCGAATCTTGCGTCAAACATTCCCTACTTCTCTTGTGATTCTGACCTGAAAGCCTTCAGTCCGGATGGTCTACATCTGGTAATATGCGTTCACGGCCTCGATGGCCACAGCGCCGACTTGCGCCTCGTGAGAACCTATTTGGAGCTGGGACTTCCCACTGTGAATTTCGAGTTCCTTATGAGCGAGCGAAATCAAGGTGAAACTTTCGAAAATTTTGAAACACTCACCGATCGGCTGGTTGCCGAGATCGTCTATCACATCGAGGTTTACGCGTTGAAACCGAACAAAATCAGGTTTGTTTCCCGATTCCTCTTTCTGATTCCGCTCTCGTATTGGAGGACGATTCGAGAAAGGATCTAGAGCTCGTGCATTCCCTCCAACAGCTTCATCGGGCACTCTCTGGGCAATATCATTATACGGTCGGCGCTGCACAGGCCTCAACTCAAACCGTATCTGAAGAAGCTCCATACATTCCTTTCTCTCTCTGGACCTCATTTGGGGACGCTGTTCAACAGCAGCGGCCTCGTTAACATGGGTTAGTGACGGGCAGTGGTGACCCTCGGAGTTGGTTAGCTATTGAGCGCGTTCAAGTCTTGACATTTATTGTAGAAAGCTGGGTCGAGAGTTCGACGAGGGCTCCATAAGCTCACGCTCGATCCCTGTGGGGTTATTTTCGGATTACAGGCATGTGGTTCATGCAAAAGTGGAAGAAATCTGGATCACTACTCCAGTTGGCGATGAAAGACGCACAGGACATCCGGCAGACTTTCCTCTATAAACTTGCGCAAATGGGCGGTCTCGAGCACTTCAACCACATTCTGCTGTTTGGTTCGTCGCAAGATCGCTACGTGCCCATTCATTCCGCGCGTATAGAGCTCTGCAAGGCCGCTATGAAGGACTCCACAAACGTTGGTGAGCTCGCTACTTGAGGCGACGGTTCTCTTGGTGCGAGGGTCGGAATCCGTCGACCGCGGCCCTTACTCGAGGGAGTGAGAATGTCTCGACGGGAGGGCAGTCTTACAAAAAGCATCCGCATGCTCTGAGAGAATTCCTTCGCAGACTCTCCCTGATTCTGAAGCGAATTTCATTCTGACAGGTGCGGCGTATCGAGAAATGGTTCAAAACCTGCTAAGTCCGGTGATGTCGCGGTCCGGGAAGAGCTGCCAGTTTGTGCGCTTCGACGTGCATCATGCGCTGCCGACAACCACTGCAAACTCGCTGATCGGACGCGCAGCCCACATCGCAGTTCTCGACTCGGAGCTCTTCATTGAAAAGTTCATGGTTGTCACTGGCCTCAAGTATTTCTCTTGAGCATATTTCATTCGCTTGTATTTGTGTCATACATAGGAAGCTTCGAATCAAATGACGTACAGGAGCTACATTTTCGGAGCACTTTTCCTAGTCTGATCTCACTCTTTGAATTCGAAACCATCTTTGACCATCAATGACGACGGAAACCGCCCGAGGAGTACTCACTGCGGTATGACCTGGGTCGAGCAGAGAATACGCTCCAATCTCTCCGACTTGACCGACTCGTTCTTTTCGTAGACTATACGGTGTATTCCTCTCCGGTAATCTAAAATCCCGCTCAATTGTCCGGAAAATCAAGCAACAGTCCTTGCTCGTGGCTGTTATTGGATAGCGTTGCAAGCGTACTCGATTGTCTCTACAGAATGAATCAGGAACCTCGCGTGCGTTGCAGGGAAATTCCGGTGTCAAATTCCAGACGTGGGGACGGCTCACGACGAGCGCGGGTTTTTCATATTCTAAGCCTCATCTTGACAGCCTCCCAGGATACAACGATTCCGCGGGAGGGGGTCGGAAAATCTGACAGTAAGAGAGGACATTTCAACTGAAATGAGTTTGTCTGATATTGAACCTTTAAGAGGAAACGAAGGCTAAGATTTTTCACCGGAAGTTCCCGGAGGCTCCTCCTGTCAGTGCAGTAACGGTCGGAATATAAACTACGAACAAGGATGGACTTACTCTGACTAAATGCACTTGGTCGTGTCAATTCTCAATAAACGACAAAACTATGTTGTACTAAATATCATTGGGCTCTTTGTTCGGTAGCGACTTATGGAAAACTGAAGAAGCGGGCTTGCAATAGACAAGGTTCGCCACTCGACGGTCTATGATGGTTCTCGCAGGGAACCTATCACAATATTATGGTAAGTCCTCTTCACGATGGCGGTGATGGCGTTGATTGCGTTCGGTATTCATCGTCCCTGTGTTTTACCGCCCGAGGTAGGCGCCTGCTCCTGGCTGTTCATACGGAGGATTTTCCCCGCGAAGAATATCGAGCCCGTCTCTTTGTGGATCACGAAGAAGACAAACGGATGTCGTACGTTGAATGACGGGTAGCCTAGATCAATGAGGAGGAGAATTATAATCCTTTAACGCGCCGGGGTATCCTCGAAAAATTCGTAACCGCATACGGGTATTGGGGATGCATCGATCCTTGTCCTGTGCACACATCACACCAAGAGATCTTGTGTTCTATCTCACCGCGGAAGTTCAGAAACTCACGCGAATAGTTTATGATGGCTGCCGTCGAGATGGCCACAGCCTCGGTACCCCGCTCATCGACTCGGATCTTCGCTTCGTGGAGCACGTCATCGACAACGAGCTGTCCCTCGGTGTCCAGTTGTGGGAGATCGGCCTTTCCTGAGACACGAGGATTTGTTTCAGACTCTGAACATCATGAAATTTCTCTCATCAGGCTCAAGACGGGAGCAACCCGCACGGCAAGGTAATCACCTCTGACGAAGAGATCTTTGATGCCTAGATCATAAAGCTGTTTTTTCAGATGATAGCTCCCGCGAACGCTAAACCGTGGGATATGGAGATCGACGGACTCATTCGCGTAGGTGGGCAAATCCTCGATGACTTTCGCTATATTCAGATTCTGGAGCATTCGATTGACCCCGTTGGGATTCCTCGGCAGAAGGACGAGCATGATCGTGATATCGCTTTCGTATGGGAGCTGAATTGCATCGGCATCCAGTTCTGGGAGAGACTTCACGAGAAAACTGTCGCGCATATACATCATTTTCACTGGGACTTCTGAAACACCGTCGTTGAAGAATGTTGAGTCGAACGAGGATCTCACCGAAAACGGTTTCTTCCAGAACCCCTTGAAGAAAACGGCGTTTGTGAGGACGACCCTCGTGGTCGGACTCACGCTCTCGATAGGATTGTCGATTTGTCCTTTGGTCAAGGAAGTGATAATTTTATTCATTTGAGTCACGGCCTGGACGGTCTGACTGAAGTCGATATCCTCGACAAATCCTCCAAATGTCTCCTCGATCAGAGCTCGATAGTCCTTGGAGATATTCAGATTTTTCTGAGCGAAGATGAGATTGCCCAACTCGACGGTCACTCCTTGCGCTTTGCTTGCTTTCGCTGCTTCGTTCAGAAATCTTATGGGCGTCAAGAGGTTATTTGGATCCTCTCCGAAGTCGTCGTAGTGCAGCGCTCTGGAAAGCTCGGCTTTCGTGTTTCCGGCCGCGGCAAAGTACAGCATCCCCAGAGCGATAGATAGAGAGACCGGCGCCATGATAGTATTGTCGTTCTCCGATATGAGGAATCTCATGAGGTTCAAGCCGAATTTGTTTCCCGCCATGATCACTTTGCGCGCTTCTTGCAGTTTCTGAAGGGAGAAACAGACAGTTGTCGAATACCGCGACCAGCAGCGTATGGCTGGTGGAATGAAAAATTCGGCCGAATGCCTTGTCACGACGTACCTGAGCAATTTCGTTCCGCGGCACGGCTGGCTTCGGGGCGAAGTATCTCGGGCTTGACGTGTGCGTCAGACGGTAAGAGGACCCATGGTATGACGGGTTACCAAGATGATCATGCAGAGGACGAAAATCGGGCGGACTCCGAGACTGCTTAAGCGGGGGGGGGGGGAGAGGGATACGGAATTTCTGGCTTAGAAGAACAATCTCGAAGGATTCGTGAGAATCGGAAAGTTGCTGCTCACATCCATCGCATCCCGCGGAGGTTCTAGGACTTGCATTCGACGGCCAGCCGAGCGAAAAAGACAGAAACGAGTCGCAAAATATGATGTCACCATGACGAGCTTACCTCTTGGTAGCGGTGTAGCAATCGTTTCACCGGACCTTGGGACTCCGCTCCTGACTTGCCGAAAACCATCACAAGGAACAGAATTTGAGCCCGCATTTTTGCGCTCGCCGGAAAGTGAATTGGGAGCGAGGAGTTGAAGACAGAGGACTTCGCGCTGACTGCTTCTTGAATTGGGGCTCCTTACACTCAACGAAGAAAAAAGACAGGGTAGGCCACCGGTTTCGGCTTACAGAGGAAACGTTGTCGGCAGCAGTGGTGAGGAGTTCTGGAATAGAAAGTCAAGAGAGGACTGAGCGTTTTTTTTCTCTATCTCCCTCTCATCTCGGCTCGTGCGCTTTCTTGGTTCCAGCGGGAATACCCAGCCGAGGAGCGATTCTGACGCACAAACGACGGCAAGAATAACATTTGACGCGTAGCACTCAGCTCCATGGGCTGGCGGTAGCACATGGAGTTTTTCTGGTTCGGTCGACGTTATTTAGTGCGGATTATTCATTAGCTGGTGATGATTCCTATCGAGCTTTATTCGTGTCAACGAGCGGCTTCTCTCGCGCCGGGCGTCTTACAAACCCGATGAGGGCTCTCTAAGAGCTAGGCACTCCTATGTGATCACGGAGTCGTTCGCTCCCAAATGCCTATCTTTCTTCCGTACCTACCCCTCTGGAAGACAGTGCTTCACTTTCAGAGCGGCATTTGCCGAGCCGCGTTTCGACGCGGGGCTCGGGACCTCTTGCCGCAAAGGAGTTGCGGTCGCCCACGCAGAAACAGGAGCCGGGGCGTTGGCTCATATCCTCTTCACGATTCATGCTATAACAAGCCTTACTCGCTGGGTCGCGCTGTATGATCCGCGGAGAAATTAGGATCCATGCTCATCGAGGTCTTGCCGCGGATGTCAATTGCTGACAAATTGATCCCCTGCATCGATTACCCCGATACCCCCTACTCCCGATAATGAAGGCCGGATTTCCCCGCGGGGGTTCGCTCGGGGCGGTGCGGGTCTCTCTGTCGCTTAGAAGTACGATTTCGGGTAGGATCGTTGCAGCTCGATTTTGAACGGAGTCTGAACGTGTTGTCACGATACACCGTTTGCGAGAAACCGTCGAAGATCAGCGACGCCAGTCTCTGTTAGTTAGGTAACTCATCCACAGTAAGCGCGACGGCCGGCTCCCACGGGCTACACGGTTTTTATTCGGCCCCGCCGGATGAATGATTCGGGCTGGGTCATCGTTAATCGAAACGGAGACAGTGGGAAATTGAGAAGAGAAGGGGACAGAACTGACGAAAAACGTTACTTTCGTCGGATTCGTTCCTCATGACTCATAACGATCAGTTTTTCTACAGAACGATGAACTCCTTCCTAGCGATTCCTCGAGGAAACGCGCATCGGAGCGATGCGACCGACTAGCAAAGCTGGTATACATAATCCACATGTATGGGGAAAGATGCGAATCGACTAGACACCGATGAGGCTCAATGAGTGACCATTTTCATCCTTAGAATTCGCCCACAGCGGACTTGTTTATAACAACTGCGACTCTCATCCACATACACAATATGTTCCGGAATGAACACGAATTTGGGGGTCTCGTCGAGCCTGTCCACGTCCGGCGGGAGCTCATGAGGTTCCACTTCGTTCCTGAGACGACAAGAACGTCGACTTATCCGCGCATCCATCAATTCTCACTGGCTACTTAAATTATATACTCAAAATCTAAGTCCAAGGTTACAACGGCCTATGTACTGAAAGCTATCTGTAAAGTTTACAGCTCGATTCAATGACCTAACACAGCTAGATACCGCCCCGGACCGGGCTCGGGATCCGACCAGAAATATTTACAAAATAAGAAAACGATCCCTCTACACTGAACTCTGAATTCCTCGTCTGTCGCTTGATTCTCGCTCAGAGATAATCTCGACTGCGTCTGAAAAACCTGAGTCAGGGCTCGCTGATCGGTCTCCCGAAAATGAGATTCGGCGAAATTATTCCGTTCGGTTCCTACTATTGCCTCCTAATTGAACTCCGACCCGTTCCGGCGGACCCCGGGCTTTCGGCAACACTGACGTCTTGCGTTTGTTGTGGGGACGACGGCGTCGGGTTTCCCATCATAGCGACGAAGACGCTCTGGAAGTTTTTGATTTCAGTGTCGAGAGGATCCTGCGCTGGGTGCGACGCTTGAGCAACGGATGTCGGGACGATCGGAGCCGCGGTCGCCGAGTCGGTGGTGCTATTGGCAGCTGTTGTGCCACTTGGAGCAATGGCCGTGGTGGCAGGAGGAGAAGGTGAGGGAGCTGTGGTCGTAGAGCCCGAATTCGCAGTGAGGTGCGCCGGCTTCCGGAGGATGACCGGTTTGTTAGGGGGTACTGGTGGAGGCACGGGCCTGTCGCTCGGTCGACTTGGAGCTGCGGGGGAAGATATTTCACGTCATCAAAATGGGGCGAAGGTAAAAGAAGCACGAGCTAGCTACCTGTTCGGATATCTCAAGTTGAAATTTCGGCACTCCCACAAAGGTCCGGCCCGCACCTGTTTTATTGAGCTGAGGAGCTTCGGCGATGTTCCTCTGAGCCAACTGAGCGGTAGACAAGACTGGAATGATCTTCGGCGGAGCGGGCGATTGACTGCTGACCACTTGACTCCGGACGGCACCCGACGACATCGAGAGTTTCTCGATCTCCACCCGGAGCCGGTCGATTTCAGCTTGTTGTCGAACAATCTTATCACGAAGAGAATCCACCTCGACCGAGCACTGCTGGAAATGAGCGCTGTATTGTTTGCTCACAGCATCCATTTGCTCCTCCATGTAGAGACTACGTTTGCTCTCCTCTTCCAAGCCGTCGACCATCTCACTGTTTCTCAATTTCTCTTTACGGAGCGCTTGTAGTAAACTCTGACAATTGGTTCGGGCGGTATCGAGTTTCTGGAGTAGTCGCTGACGTTCATTTAGCAACAGCAACACAATCTGCTTCTGCCGGTCGCGCTCCTGTTCCAAAACAAGACTCGCTTTCGTTTCTGCGAAGAGAAAGTACCAAGACTCAGCTTCCGTGTGGGAGGCGATACCGGCAACAAAATCGGTTAAACATCAACTCCGACGGGAGTGGATCGAAGAGTAGCCCTTGGCGGTGGACCTACGGAAGATTACCTTTTTCGAGCACTCGGTCTGCTTCTTCCTTGGCCTCTTTGGAGAGTTGAGTTCCCAGGGAAACTTTGTTCTGCATCGAACCGCATTCACACGACTGACAACATCGCTCCTTTATCTTAGATAATAGTTCGTTGTTCTTTGAGATAATTTTTTGTGCTAGTTTAGCGTGGACCTGAAACGCACACAGGGATATGTTACGAGTTACGAGCTGATCAGGAGGGTCTCACTCTCTTTTGCATTTGCGTACAATACTCGCCCCCTTGATGTTGAGGTATTTCTCGATGACGAACGCACAAGTACAGCATCAAGCTGCCACCCGTGTACCGTACTTCGAGAACACGTTCCTTTGCGCTACAAGCTCACCTGTTGTATATTGCGGAGGGAGCGCACATCCATTCGTTCCTCGTAGCTATCATAGGCACCGATGACATCTTGCCACAAACTCGTGATCGGATTCCGGGACCCCGGCGGTACCATTTGGGAGCAGGCGGGGTATATCATATGCTTTACATGCTCACTCTTCAAAACAGCAATAACAATATCACGAGCTTGTAGTTCACCTGAAATCGTGGAGATTGAACCTCGATTATAGGTCCCACCGTGACGACTGAGTCTCTCAGAGTTCTGAGTCCAGAATCATAATTCGATTTAGTGCATCCTATAGAGAGTGATAGAAGACTTCGCAGTCCGCCGTAATGTGTACCCCGACGTACCTTCGAGAACTCCGACGAGCCTGAGGAGATCAGGTCTCTCGAGGTTCCATCCGTTCGTTACTCGGTCATAGTCTATTTTCGAAGGTGGAATCCGCAATAACAGCGGAATCGGCGATCCGCTCGATGTGGTGCTCGTCGTTGCATTGGTTGTTGCGGGGGTAGGCGTAGTGGTGGAGGTCGCTGTCGTTGCGGATTGATCCGCACTGACAGGCTGCGCCGAACTCATCTACAAAGCGAGTGTATTATTTCCCTTAGATCTTCGATTCAGGCGATACTTTAGACGAGGCTCTGAAAACCGTTCCTAGGAGGCTGATGCGGAAAATGAACGCTGGAAGTCTCGATCATAATTTGAAATATAGAGGAGCGGTGCTCTCACGGTCACTGGGAAGTGTTGGACAGAAAAAAATGGCAGAACGACAGGCAACCTCTTTCTACCGAGAAACCGTGACGACCCCGCGAAACGAGGCTCCGAAGCGAGATTCATCAATTCATTGAGGTGTATAATGCACTCCCGATCGAATGGAACAAATGAAAGCTACAAACGACCGGAATCGAAACTTTCAATGGAATCAATCAGGTTTTTTCTCATCAACTGCAGCCAGGAATGCATACAGAAGTCATTGGAATAATTTGAACATATCGTTAAGCATTTAGTCCGCCCGGACCCACCAATATCCCCTCCCACATTTTAGCAGAGACAATGGAAAATTTTCGAAATGACGGCGACACAAGCGCCCCGACCATCCGCGAACATCCTCAGAATGCTCGAGCCTAAGATTCATTGTCAGCTACGGGGTTTCGAATTTTCCATGAATTGACGCTGGGAGCGCCTGCGATAATTTATCGAGAATCATGGAGATCTGAGGCTGAGGGCACAGTTTCAACAAAACTGTAGATCATTCCAAGAGAAGCGATGTGAGTGGGAAGCTTCTCGATCCACAAGGTTGCGCGCAATCCGCCTCTGCCGATGGCGGTTGTCACTGATTCTTGAATTAAACATTCCGTTGCTCCGGCAAGTTACGTCTTGACGTATCGACTGCTTTGTCGAGAACCGCCTACATGGGTCCGCGCCAACCTGCGTCGACAGATGAACTCCCTGCACCGAACAATCCCGTCGGGACGATTCACGATCCCACCCCATCTGCAACTCATACTCTGCGAGGGGGAGCCTCTACGCATTAGATCGACCGAGGACCAGCGCGGTTCCCGGGGATCTCCGGATTGGACAGAATCGGAGCTCGATTCGCATGGAGATCATTTGTGGAGCAGAAGCGAAGGCAAAGCTTGCGGCATGCGATCGCGCGATTTGGTCCTCCTCCAATTAATTCGTGGCGCTCTGACACCAGGGTTTGGCTTCAATATTCGAGAGATCAGAAAAAGCAAGAAATCTTCAGCAACCGATACCTCCGATGAGTACACGTGAAGCAAATGTGGGGTGCACTACATCCTAATTGGGTATGGATCGATTCTCACCGTGCAGATTCGGCGTGGACCTTATCGTCAAGGCTTCCCCCCTGAACGTGAAGCACTGCTGAACTCCAGTTGCTGTTGCTTGAGCGCTGAGCGCCGCTCACAGCGCACAGTTCACTTAGAGGAACTCTAGACAGTGGAGAAGTTCGAAGTATTGGCCCGCTCGCTCACTCGCAGATCCGCTACTCGGATCAAAGGGACGAGCCGAACCAGTGGACTTGAAGACAATCACCTTACCCCTCAGCTGTCTCTTTTCTTGCAGAGGCTCTCTCCGCAACTTCTATTGACTGTTCTTCTTCGATAGTTACAGTTACCGAGGATCGTAGCTTGACTGTGTGCTGCTGCTGCTGGTGTGTGTAGGTCTCCTCTTCGGCTGTCGGTTGGTGGCGAAAGCGCTACTTGGAGAGTGGATGGAGCAAGCGGCGGCGCTGCGATCAGCGAAGCACACTTCGGATCAGCAATGTTTCCATTGGAAAGAGAACCGGACACCGGACGTCTCGTCATGAGACGACTGTCCGCATTATTGGCGAACCATCCCACCTTATCGTTTCCAATCGTTGAAGTCTCGGAAAGCTCATTTATTGATCCGCATCTTTTCGCCTCGAAGAGTCTGACTTAAGCGAATCTTCTTGGCCCCCCGTTGTTCGGAGGAGCATAGTGCGCTACGCTTTTTCTCGCACACTTTCTCCGTCTGCTCTTGTTTACAAACATTAGGAGCTACTGCTCATGTCTCTACATTACATCATTCGATCTGTATTGCGTCGCTGTTTCTAGAATTAAGAAGTGTCCGACCGATCCTCCGATTTCTAGAAGGTTGGTTTTCGACTCTGAAGTATTGGTGAATTGATAACCACGCGCGCTCCTTGCTATCCCGCTTGTTCGGCTAGAAAATCCTGCGGAGCGAACGGTACCCCTTCATACTGAACAGCTGAGCCCACCAGAAGTGTCTTTGAAATGCGCATTGCCTGATCTGTGAGCTTCCGAAGAGGGCGCATCAAATCCTTATCGACTATCCAAACGACGGGGGAACGGGGCTCGACGATCGGCGCTAGCTCATATCCCCACCGTACGATCTATGGTCCAGGGTCAGAGCACACGCAACGGGCCAAGATTCGACTGCCGTAGACAATTTTCCCTGGCTTAACAGTTCGTCTCTCCCGATGACCCTCCGGGAGGGGCGCGGTTCTTCGGAAGTCCATTCGGAAGTACCGGAACAGGTTCGAGGCGAATCACGCGATAGACGCACGTTGTCGCGAGATCCCTCCCATTGACCAGTCTCTCTGAGGAGTCTCCGTCTCTTTAAGATTTCTCTTTGATCGTCCGCTTGATGGGGGCTGGTCATCCTGAGTGCAGTATCGTTCGGTTTAGGGAGTACTCATGTTTATGTCGGAAGCAGGGGTCGTTGTGAAAGTTCGCAGTCCATTCAGCCTGATCAGGAAGCTGTGTGAAGCAGTTTCGGCTAATTTTTCGCCCTTGGTTACGATGTTTCTTTCAGCGTGATTCAGTCTCGGGAAGACGGGATCGATCCCGATTCTTGAATATCCCTCTTTTTTCCAGCAGATGCACAACGCGAGCAAAATAAACGTGACTTCTGTGGCTCGCTTGCTGCGGGCTCAGCGCCCATCTTCTGGTGGCCGCCTGCAAACACTCAGCTCGAGCACCTCCATAGAGCACACGCAGACCATCCCGCCGCTACCTGGGAATGAAGTCTCATTCTTCGGTCCAAAGGACCACAGAGTTCCTCTCCCAGGTATGAGGCTTCCCGACCTGATCCTTTCAAGATTTCTTCAGAGTCTTTGACCTGATGAGCTGGATGAGATATCGTTCTTATCGAGACGATACTAAGCTCGAGACGCTATCAATTAAAACTTTCCTATCGACAGGCAACGTTGGCATTCCCGCTTCGGAATTCCGACCGGGCTTCTCGTATCGAGAACCCCTCGATAAGTCGAGTCGTTACATGACCGAGTTAGATTTGTACAAAGTTGATGTGACCGAAGATCGCCAGAGGAAAGTCTATTCGAGATTACTTGATGGAACGTTCGAGGTGAGATTCACGCGCGACGTCGTTGCATGGTATTCGAACTGGGAATGGTTCTCGGGAAACGCCGGAAGTGAGCAGTTGAGCCCTGAGAAGGTGTTCAATCACTGGTTGGTCTGCCTAGCTCCCTGATCTTCGGAGAATGCTCATCTGGATTTCATTTACAGTCAGGTGAATTCAGCGATGTTGAGGGGATTTTCCATTCGGGACCTGAATTGGATTGTCGCGTCCAGGAATGTCCTTTGCTTGTCAAGAAAGATTTCCAGGAGTTGTTTCCTGACCACGACATTCTCATGAAGCCCCTTACTATAATCACAGTGGCTCACAACATTCAGCACGAAAACGTTCTGCGGTCGCGGAGCATGGGATCCGAACGGGAAAGATTGACTGAATCCTTCATCTTCAAAGCGCAGAAAGTAGTGCGTCAACTCAGTGAGGCAGGTTTCTGGGCGGATTTCATAAATCCGAACTCGGGAAAACCCTATCTGAGCGGGAGATTCGGCGACGCAGTTCTCTTCGAAACGGACGAGCGATACCGTCATCTAGGTTTTACCATCGAAGACCTCGGCTGCTGTAAAGTTATCACACACCACGAATGGGGTCGGAACGCTTTCGTCGGATGCCTGTTCACGAACGCTCCTATGAATTCTGTCGAAATTCAAAAAATATTGAACAGTAGTAACAGAAGAAAATGAATCGGTCGGAATGAGGAAAAGCGATGAAAAGAGCTCTCATTCAGCAACCAATGCAAGAGGAGCCGATGAAGGCATGTTAGTCAATCTGTAGCTTATCAAAGCCAGATCTTGGAGTGATACGTTGATAATAAACTTTATGAATTGTTCCGCAAATACCATTCGTCATATATGTCGGTCAGGGTGTTCTCCTGAAGGATGGAGCGCGATATGATATGACCCCGATATCGGGTATTGTATAACACTGACATCAGGTCAGGCCCATCACCGCGAATTCGCTGAGCAACGAGGAAGCGAGCTCTGGCCCGAGAGAGGATTTAGAACGTGAGAAAACGCCCAGGTGGATGGGATGATTATCGAAAAAGTACATTTTTGTTCTTTAGCTGCACGAGTTCGCAAACTTTCCTGATGTAGGCCTCATGGAACTTCCGAGGGGCACAGTAGCGGGCTCGCTTAATAATTCACGGGTTTCTGAAGGGCGATTTCCATTGACCAAAACTCCATGGGTCACGCGGTGAATAATAACCAACTCGCCAACTCGATCCGTTCCGCCACAAGGAAAGTCGGCGGTCTTTCCTTCTCTCTGCCCGCACCCCCGTGTCGAAGGTGGAATTCCCTTGTACAGCTCGCTCACGAAGGACAGGAGTCGAACATCTGGAATCAATCCGAACCCTGTCGGGAAGATAATCCTGTCGGCTCCGACTTCCACTACTCTTTTCTTGGAGGAGAGGATGGGGGAGTGAATCTATCTCGATCGACAACTGTTGGACAGCGGATGGTTCCGATTGCGTTCCGAGACAACTGAGCAACAAAGACAGCATTTGGAAGCTCAAGCGTTTCCCGCGATTGCTTTATTGGGTTCGATAGTCGGCTCCGAATGAGGTTACCCTCTCTTCCGCTTCATTCGCAGTATCCTATGCTCGAATACCTCCACCTACGATATAGGTGACGGGCGATTCCGTCGGAAAAGACCGTCCGGTGATCGGATCGGACGCGACTTGGAGTGTAAATGATGAAGTTCCTTTTTGAAAAGCATCCGATTCCGGGACACGCTGCGGCACTGCACTGTGAAGTCTGCGATCATCAGTCTATGCTAATCACTCAGATCTAGGATATGTGGCGATGAGTAGACCTGAATGTCGTCGCTGCTGCTGTGGCTGCTGCTGCTTTCGCCGCTCCGTCCGCTGCCTACAGAGATACATTTTATACTTTTTCGACAGTTGTGTCCTCTGTCTTTTCATGCCGTTTTATTCCTCGAGAAGAGAAGTCGTTGCAGTGAACTCTCCGCTTAGTTCGGTTCGGGTGAAGCCGAACGAGAGTCTTCGTTCGTCTGTGGCACCCGTATTGAGATGGAGAAGATGTATTCCTACTTGAATAACTGTAATTTTTTGTGTGTTTTTTTCCGATATGCAGAATCGTGCATTCGGGTAGGCTCGTGGCCTCAGGCTTGCATCCTCTCCCTTGTACTGTTTCGTTTGCTTCGATAGAGCTCATTGACGCTTGACGATCCATGTCTTTGAGCTCTACTTTCCGATTCTCGGAGTGAAAGTTCTCAATGTGCGCATCTGGAAGAGGAAGGCTCCACTCAAACTATTATTCCTCTTGGAGCGCAAGATGCTGGATTAAGCTGCGGGAATGAGAATCGCAAACAAAGCTCGCGCTTACCTGCCCAACGTTCCCGTCGGACCTGCCGATGCGAGGCGTGAATGCGGCTCTCCCGATTCTCGGGGTGAAGGCGGGCGCTCGCTTCACCATGAAATCATTATCTTCATCTTCGTAGCCTGAAGGCGCTGATCCCGCTTGGCTCATGCTCTTCTTTCCGAGCCTTGAAGTTAAAATCACAGTCGTTAGGATCAGTCTCGCGGCGAAAAAGTTCCGATTCTTCGAGCTTCAATACTTGATCGATCAATTTCAACCTAATCGCGGTGGAGCGAGAAAGCCTCCCCAAACTAGGGGCTATGTGCGAATTTTCTCCCTCGATGGCCGCACACCGCCCCAGGGATCTCTCATCGAGTGACGGACAATGCCGGGAATGGAGTAAGGGCATGAAGACATTCGAATCGCCGCGTCTCTCGAGGATTGCGGATCGTTTTTCCTCATGAGTGCAATGTTTTCTCATTTCGGGCTGCCGCAGTCGTTTGCTGCGGAAGTCCGGCAATAAGACAGAAGAATGTCAGGCTGCAAGTGTTGGCATTCTGCCAGTGTGAACATGTTCCACGCCATAAGGCACACTCTCATCCACTTATGTACTCGAATGAGGGACGCGTGCGGCACGAAATTTGTTCCTCGAGCTTGAAGAATTTGCATTTGCTGCCCAACAGTCACTGAAGATCTGCAAATAGTCGCCTGCTTTTAGACGAATGGACCCCGAAAGCGGAAAATTCGCGCGACCGTGACTCGGGGGTCGGTGTTCTCGGCTACGTAGGAGCGGCCTTTCATCATGATTCCAGACTGATGTTCTCAATGACGGATCCGGGAAAAGTTCGATTTGGCCGGCCGCATGTGATTCCGTATGTGAAATCGTATACTTTTTTTTCGATTCTATCGTCGACTCTCTCAATAGCGCGGAAACACGACAAAATTCATCTGGAGTGGGCTCCTGACAGCAAACTGAAGGCTCAGTTCCCCATCACGGAAGGAGCCGCGGTGAGCGCTCCCTCGCAAAATGCCAATTCTGATCAAAATCTCAGTCCGTGCCGGAGTCGGAAGTTTTGACGCTACAATTTACCGAAAGCTCTTCGAGGAATGTATGAGCCTAGTCGCAGCTGCTTTAGCTGCCTGCGTCGCACTCGGGCATACATGTATACCTATGAGGGCTGCACATTGAAGTCTCGTGGAGTCCAGACACTGGAGTCTCGTTGTTTCTGACAGCTTGTTCTACCGAAAAACTTCGACTTATCCCTCCGAAGCTTCCCGGCCTAGCCGTCGAACACGGGGGAACATTGCAAGCGAAAGCACAGCGCTTACCTTGGCACGAAAGCGTCCGCGCGGCCGATGCGTGGACTTGGGATGAGCTGACGCATCGTTCTCTGGAACAGGGCCTGGAACTCTTCGGGGAACAGACGTCTCATCTGATGCACTCCGATCATTGAGTTTGAGTCGAGCGATCGCTTTTTGCGGCCGATTCTCGGGGTGAATGCACTGTGCCCCCCGCGTTTCCTGCAAGCAGCGCAGGCTAACAGTTTGCGGCCTCCGTATAATACTCTGCTTGATCGTGTCTAACTCATCTTTCCGTGCTCATGATGGATCACTGGTTCACGTGTTCCAACGCGCTATTGAGTGAGATATGAAAGAGCCCCAGCTTGAAGAGCGTTCTCACTTAACCGATGAGCTCGCTGTGCATCTTGCTCCTGCCGCTGGATGCTACCGAGTTGTAAACCCAGAGAAGTGCCGAGCTTTCAGCTCTCGGTGCTCTGCACGACGATGACAGCTGCTAGCGAGCTCATCGGATCGAAACAGGGCGAAAACTCCCGTGACCCGCGCGTGCTGATAGTCCTCCGGCAGCGATTCACGGAAGGATTACTCAACTTTCGAAATCGAGATTCGATCATCCTCTCTGTGCAGATCGAACATGAATACTGCCCGTTACTCGATGAGACGTTCGGCGGAGTTTTTTGAGACTTTCGTAAAACATTCCCGAGAGCTTGGATGTCGCGTCGAGCGATTCCCCCAACGGCGCTGCTTCATATTTCATGGCTCGCGTAGTCAAGATTCTATCGAATATTCAGTTCGAATGAGGGGAACTTCAGTCGACGAGGAGGTCTTTCGAGGTTTCGGGGAATGAGCAGCTAGCGAGCTGCGGCGAAAAACCAGCCGTGGACCCTGCGTCGAGTTTCATCAGGCTCTTGAGTGTCCCTCAAAGATGAGCTCGCTCCCAAATGATTTCGTCTCGGACGGCCCGGGGATTTCTTGGATGCGCGATAGGAACGTTGGTTATTAGGCCGCCACCGTGGGTATCCTCTACACGGTTCCGGTGGGCCCATTCTTTCTCATATCCTCTACCGCCAGGGAACGGATTCCCGCAACTTCCTCTGAGCGAGCAACCGACACATTTTGCTGCTGATTCTGAGGCCGATTTCGAGCTTATACTCGGTGCTATCGCGAGCATTTTGATCGTCGCTCCCCTTCGGAGCTGAACATTCCATCGCAAAGAAAATAGTCAAGAGCCTCCACGATTTCGAGAAGGTCCAATAAATGAATGATTCTCACCGCACATCCCCATCCCCGGGACTGGAAGCCTAACATAGGTTTGGGTGTATCAGATCTTCTCAGGATTGGAACTCGCCACGATGGAACGCAAGAGCCGAAGGGTGAAAAGTTTCACTGATACAAACATCTCTGACTGAGAGATCCAAAGGTGATGCAAGTTATGAGCGTCCGAATGTGTTGGATGCTTGCCCTAGATTACAGTCGGGAACAAGGTCGAATTTCCCGCTGCAACCTGTAACGCAACCTTTCTGACCGCGATGTGGTCATTGTTTCGAGGCATCGTCATGGGAGACATTGCGATGCTATCGACTCACATATCGGTTGTCACATACTGTCTTTCGTCGTCGAGTAATTCTGGCTGTTCTCGAGCATCCTGCATGAGATCGAATTTCTCTCTCTGACCCTTTTGCGTTGGTTTTAACTGTCTAATGGGTCCCGAGTCGATGCTCCGAGTACCTCGATTGCATGGGAGCGTGACTCGGTCTTCAAGACCTACTCGGACAACTCTTCGGAACCAATGGTATCAGAGGGCCATGGCCGAGACCGTAGGCAATCCCATTCCTGCGAGAATTTAGACCGAATCGTCATTTCATTCAATTTGGAATGGAGCCCAGCGGTTCCTCAAGGACATCGGCGGCTGGCTTCTTCGATGACCAAATGGCATGGCCAGCATGGCCCCATCGCGATACAGGCCCTCTCACTCCGTATTCCTCCTATTCTTCGAAGAACTGTATTGTGTTTGGGATCGCGTTCCGGCTGATTTCGCATCCCCCCTCTTATCAGCATGGAGCCGATCGAGCTTCTTGAGTTCTGGTCGAGCTCTCCGCTGGGTTTCCCATGAGCAACGGAGGTCGCCTTCCCTCCGATGTGAACCGGTAGCCGCTGAGAAGTATTTCTCCGGGAGATCTTCACGGAAAATGATAATCCGAAAATCGCTCTACAGCAGGCGATCCTCTCCTGAGTGAGTTCCGTCTCGGAAATCGAAAAGATCTTATTTCGCTCCTTCCGGAAGCTACTGCTGCATCACGGACGTAGGAGGTGGAAACGCGATTCAAGGTTCCATGTGGTCCAGACTTCCGACTCCCTTCACTCAGGGTCGATATTTTCAACTAGGAAAGGCTATGATTCAGTCTCGGACTGCAGCATCGCTGATTGAGCAAGAGATGTGGCAGATCGACGAGGCTATGAAACACCTCAGCAAAAGCATATTGTATGCAAGATTCGTAGTACAGATGAGGCTCGGGCCCCAGATTTTAGGCGCGATCCCCATCTTATTCAATATGTGTAGGATCTCAGGTGGAAGAGCCGATTTTCATGTCCCATCGACCGTCTTTCGCTCATCTCGCCTGGGATTTATATACGGCTCAGAGGTTTACACTCACAGATACACAGTCTCCGGGAAATACATACATGCAGAGCGGCTGAATGATCTAGACGTCGCACCGTATACTCACAGGTAATCGGGAACTAACATGTAGCCGACGTCGATAGCACCCTCCCAGTTCTCCTCATCGTCTGGACTATTCACAAGCTGATCCTCGCCGCTAGGCGCAAACGACGCGACGGAGCGGCCTATCCTCGGAAACGGAATGAGTCCTTGCCGTTTGCCGATACGTGGGAAGGGCAGCAAGTCTTGTCGTTTGTCCTCCTGGCAAGAAGCATAGTCTGAAGAAAGAAACATGAATCATGTAGGATACGAAAAAAAAGCAATAGGGCAGCATCGGATCTGATACTGGAACCAGTCTCTCTCAGACAGCCCAGTTAGTGGCTAAACGAATGTCGAGTGGCACAGGGAAGGAAGAAGGAACTCCAAAGTTTTAACAGTGCAGGTCCGATCCGACGCTGACCTCCCTACAGCTGAGGAATCATCGATTCGTTGGCGAGAAACTCCCCCGGACTAAGCATCCTCGAGGGATATTTTTTCGGGATGTTATTGCGATCCTCAAACTCGAGACGATGGAGTCGTTGGAGGAGCCGATCCCTTCGATAATTATGAGTTCTGTCGAATTTCCGAGTCTCTTCCGCTGCGCGGAGGAAACGAACCAAGGTCCTTAGACGGAGCGACCCTTAAACGGATCTGAGACTCCGCTCGACCCGAAACAGCCCGATTCGTCTCCGTGGAGTCGTAAACGGAGGACGAGTAGCGTGTCGACGCGGCGCTTGCGAGAGATTCCAAGCGCGACGAGGCCTGCTGTGCGCCAACGTCCATCGGCGCAGTTCTTGGATGTCGGCGAACTCCCCGCAACAAATATATGCAGTTGTGCTGCAGTTACCCTCGTGGGACTCGAAGGTCGATAGTCACAGACAAGTCCCCTGTCCTCGGGGAGGCTTCCACTGTCTCTCTCTCATCCTGCGTCACACCTTCGATCGTTGAGATCACAGCGAACGAAGCATCGCCGAATGACTCAAAATGAGAAAGAAAGTACGGAAGGGAAAAACTACGCCACAGCGTCGTATAGAAGAAACAATACGTCCGATTGCTGCTAGCAGGCTTGCCTCGAAGCAGGAACGCGATCGTCGTCTGCCGGTGCTGCAAATTGAATCCCGCAGCGGGATCTGTTGAACGTCGTCACAGGAATTGTCCTGTTTTCCGGTGCTCCCTCCGTCGGAGACCCATTGCTGGTCGATTGTTCGTACGCCATCACGGAATCTATTCGCCCGGCGAATCGCGTCGTGAAGACTGTAATTCCTCATTCTTGGTTTTTTAAGACATCTCTCCAGACATTCCAGGACAAACGACCAGCCAGCCCGAGAGAAAGGCTGCCTAGTCTTGAGCTGGTCGATGCTGTCCATTAGCGGAATTAAACGAAAAGGCGCAGTGCTTCCTCAGGCCCCGAGAATCGGAAGCTAGTGAGCGCGTCAACGAGGATGTCGTTCTTAACTCAATTTGACAATATGTTGACTGGCGGCATGAATGGATCACGCCCTGCAAAGTCTAGAGCTCTTGCTCAGAGCGCGTGACGAACGGAAGATCAAGCTGAGAAATAGTTCGTACCGCACCATGAAGATTCCGAACTCGGAATACGGTCAGGTCAGGAAAAGGTTCTTTCGGTCAGACTAGGTTCGTAATTTGATTTGATTCGATGGGAGACCGGCATAATCTCAGATTCCAAGCCTGTTCCCGTGAGATGATCCCTCGAGTCGAGGAAGGGCTCTCACTCAACAGGCTCTTTGAGATCATCATGAGTCGGGCTGAGTGTGAGAATACGCTGCTAGAGCGGCTGGAGACCACTCGGACCAATCCCTCACGACGCAAACTCTAGACGTCAGGAGGAGCTCTCAATAAGCCCAATGACTCACGGAAGGCATGTATAGTTGACATATTTTCTTACCAATAAATTACATTGTATGACCCGCAATCCAACGTTCCCGGAACTCGTTGGATCAACTCGTCCTCTGAGAAATTCAGATTGCCCCTTCTGCGGGGCTCTCCCTCTTCGACTACGGATACCGATTTCTGGCTCGAGATTTCTGTATCTTCCACCCTTACTGGTCACGAGGAGTCGGTGCTCGCGAAACGAAGTCTCGCTGCCCTTTCGATTCTCTTGCTTGTCGTCAGTGGAGCCTCCCGTTTCTTCGAGGGCAGCGGGACGATGCGGAAATAGGGTCGCCTCGTGAGATAACATCAGGGATCGTAGCCTCCGGACAGCGGAGAGCTCGACCTTTCTTAAAACGATTCTCAATAGAAATCGATGAGCCAATTCGAAGAGATTTGAACCGAGTTTCGTAAAGCTCGTCAGGATATTGCCTTCTAGGTTCAGGCCGATTCCGCTGCGAGATCCGTCCACCGAGCTCCTGGGGAATCCAGGAGAAATACAGAGATTCAGTCTAGACTCTGGGAAGCTCAGCGCGTGAACCGGGAGAATGATCCAAACTCTTCGAGATCCGAGACCTCTCTCTCGTGCGGCCAGCGACGGCGCGGCGGCGAACTGAGTTGGTCGACGAGGCGGGATGCGCATCTCAGTGCATAGGCCCGGCGACTTGAGAAAAGTCTTTTGGAACCGGAATCCATGCATGAGCGTCGTCATCTCTGTTCCACATGGCCGATGATTTCAGGAGCAGTATGTAACGGAGGAGGGGTGTGGGCGAGGAGAGAAGTAGAACCGAGTTTCAAAGCAGCTGCGGTCGCTCCCCTCGTTGCCGTGAGAGCAATCTCTTCGGAGTTTGAAGGGGCTCTCTGTCGTGCACTCAATTTTTTTCTCAAGTCCAGTCATCGTAGATTACAATTCCATCTCATGTATCCGATCCGGCTACGTATTCGCCGCGTGTAGCCATTACGCTTAGTGACTGGGACGAAAGCGGGAATTTACCCTAAACCGATTGTGTCTCAATCCAGATTTGTACGGATTTACACGATCGCACCTGGAGTGGTAAGATTCTCCGACAGAAGGTCCACCAAAAGGAACATCGACAGTAGGAACTGCTCGGAAAACTCTCGATCGAGTAGGAAGACATATCGAAGCTGAGGGAAGTGATCCTTCTCGCCGAAACGGGGAGACACGGGGAGGGTGATTCTTCACGGAAGCTTCCTCGGGACTAGAATTTAGGAGGACTAGAATGTAACTCCGAGATTCATCAGGAGAGCCGTTCCTGATGCGACGAGACAGTCACTTCTCCTCTATCGCGCTCAACTGGGAGCCGTAGAGGAATATTAGGGGCATATATTACATCTTTCATCTCTAGATTCTCATGCCTTGACGAGGGAGCCGCTCACCCTTCGACGGTATCCCGCTCATCAGCCCTGCGCAAGTAGATACATACTTTACAGATAGCATTCCCGATGGCATTCTGGCAGATTCCGAGGAAGTGTCGAGAATATTCACAGAGAGAATCAGAATCTCGTCAGACGTGATGCAACAAGTCGATCAATTTGCTAAAAGCGCTCAAGAAGCGAGAATCGCGCCCGATTCACCGAGGCGTCTTCTGGTCGGAGCACGTGGCATTCCGAGTCGGAATATCCCCTCATATGCGTGATTCGAAGAGCCGGGATATCGAGCGGTCGCGCACCTCGATGAAGGATGATCCAAGTCCTTCCGTATTCCTGAATCAGGAGAAGATCATCCGCCGGATTGGATCGACTGAAGGCCCCCGCTGCGGAACATCACTGATTCCTCCGTTTGGCGCCAACGGGTACAAGATAGGCATACTATCAATGATGTCGAGAATTTCCGACATTGTTTTGTTCCCCTGTTACTGGTTCTTCGCCGAGGCGCGAATAGAAACACGAAAACTGATCCCCATTTTCAGAAAGGGTCGGTTTTGGATTTCCGAGGTTACCGCACCGTGAGGCCAGGGGGGGAAGGACTGATTCCAATTATCGTCAGAATATCGGAATCTCCGGAGGAATAGTCTTCAAGGTTCTTCCTCTTCCCTTCAACTCTCCCAAGAAGGGTCACTAGAAGTGCTGCACGAAAGAATGAAGGTAATCATAATCTGTACCTCCAGCGAGACCTGATCGCGCGTCCAAATCCTCGTAATGCTAGACCGCATTCCCGATGGGTCAAAATCAAGACGCAGACTCGTGGAAGGTCTCAATGAGGAAGGTTTCACCGTGAACGGATGGGTAGTGGGGCACGGGGATTTTTGTCTGAATCCCTGAGGAGGCGTGCGAGCATTGACCGCTGAAATAGGCTGCTCGAGGTTCCGCGAGGCTGGATATTTCGGAGTCGTCCAAATATTCAGGAGCCAGGAAGGTTCCGGAGACCGCTATTCCGGAACTATTCATCAGTCGGAGCCCGGGAGCAATATTTCTTCCCTGCAGACCCCGAAAGTTTCCCGGAAAATGGAATCCGGAAGTGAATGTACTCTCTGGGGAAGTTCCTTGTTTACACAGATATTCACAACTCACCGTGGGAAATCAACAAAGCAAGAAGGACACTGGCGACCGTTGCGGACGATAGCATCCTGCTTGGCTTTCTCAACTAGCTGAGAGTTTCAACTAGAAGAGGCTTTTCGTTCGGTTCGCAACTCTGAATGCGATGGTCCTTGCGGCTGGGTCGGGCAGTAGGGTGATCGCGGGAGCGGAGTTCAAACTTGTCCGCGGTACACGTCGTGCCTGAGGCCTTTAACGGAGAAGGAGTCCCCTCCTCTAGGCCCTTTCTCACGTTTGGAGGCCACACCTCCGGTATTCGGATTGGCGTGTTTCTGTCGACTTCTACCACACCCCAGTGACGTCTCTGTAGTAACGGAAGATCACCAGATGACCAAATACCTCCGGTGTTCATAACCAGAGCCGGAGAAAACAACCAATTACGAGGGTGAGGTATTTGGGGTCGTCATCCAGCATGGAGAGCGTCATGCCCGTTCAGTGGCTTGGGCATTTGTTTGTCGGAAGAGAAACAGACAACTTCCGTGACGTACCGCCTCCGAGCTTCGGCATCCGAGGAAGATGATCCTTCCCATAAACGACATTGGGAACGAATGCTCTCGGGAAGAGTTTTCCCCCAGTCAGCCATCGCTTCCGGCTGAAGCTTCAGTAGCCATCTGGAAGCGCTGTCCATTTTCCAAGGAATGCCCTAATTCCCCCCCATGTATCATACGAGGCTCCACCGATTATTATCAATCGGCGTGAGGCTGGAATCGGTCGACTCCATGCTAGGCAAAATGTCAGAGCTCATCCCGAGAGTACCTCATCCGGGGTTTGATGCGAGCGATCTCGAAGCGGAATCGATGCAAATCGAAGAATTGCAGATTGAAACGACGACAGGGGCGAGATGCAAGCATCTGGCTAAATGGGATACTAAGATACGAGACGGGCGCATTTTCCACTAGACTGGAGCGGTCATAGCCTCAGGCGACGGATTTGTCATGGGCCACCAATCAAATGAGTCGATCGAATCGTTGATGATTCTTCGCGTTGCTATCCCCTGAGCCAACGCCGATGCGTCGTGCTCAACGGGCAAACATTGCCGCATTCAGTCAAAAAATGCCGGGAAGCAAATGTCCCGGGTCGAGCGGGATCGGGACCATCACGCATTCGATCGGCGCGGGCCTCAGGGGATGAGTCTTTACGTCGGCGGCCATCCTTCGGAAATTCTCCTCCCTCCCGGGGAGGTGGAGACCACCTGCACTTGACCCGTGAAATTACGAACCTTGTTAAAAGAATAGGATGCAAGGCGCACGACGATCGTGAGCTGCGATTCCGGCAACGCAGAATGGGCTCGGTATCTCACGATTCTTCGAGGAATGCGCACAGCTACTGTCTATTTATACTCTCATTATATAATATAGCTGTTCATTATAATGGATGGAGCTCGGTTATCTCCCAGAGGCTAATAGGATGACGGCTCTTGCCCCCATATCAGGGAGAATACGCCAGGCTTCGATTCGCGACCACCCGAACAGACACCGGATGCGAAATCTCCTGAGCGTATGGACCGCGAGATATTCGTCACGAAACATTCCCGAATCCGAAGAGCGGTACAGGTAGCTCCGAGACACGTTTCTTCCGCCCGAAGTTCGGGCCCACCAGATACAGATGAACAGGTACTTCTCGCGGAGTACGAAATCTCCGATATCGCCTGTGAGCGCCTGGACGTATTGTTCGCTCGCGGAATATCATTTAGGGTGCCGATGGCTCTCTCCATCAAGGGAGACAATTCGACAGCGCTTCGATGTGTTTTTTTTCACGAGGAACGGCGTCCGGGTAGGTTGCGTTCGCCAGGTCAGAATCTGCAATGAGTGATTCCAGAGGTTTAGCTCGATAGGCTACCCCTTGTGGGGTTCCTTATTTGCCTCACCCTCCCAGATATGTTGGCGTGAATTCATTTCGGGGTCAGTATTTCCCCATGAATGATTGCTTTTGTCAATTTCGGACTGGAATGCAGATACGCTCGCAGTCGCGACCGATGATATGCTTTCTCGATAGGGAATCGAGAGCTCAGTAGCTCATTGTTGAGCCAGGTCGCTCAGGCGCTGCCTCGCAGAAAGCCGATGGGATTTGTCAATTCGAGTCAAGCGCAGGGAGAACCTTTCGGGAACTTTGTCACAACGCACAGATGGGGCAATGCAAGGCCGTCAAAATCGTATGGGATCACGTCGTCATTGATTCAATGGTGATCTCTGAAACCTCACTGCCTATTCGACCTTTCGGGAGCGATTCATTTATTCACCACTCTCGAACTAGGATGCGCTGCTCGAAAAATAGTCCGATGTCAGACATCTCTCTAGGAAAAGTTCGGGGCAGCGTTCTCCAAACTTTTGTCCTCCGCACCCCACCTATGCATGGCGCGGCAGGGTCGCGCCCCGTCGCGCCTCATCGGTCGCTTTCTCAGGAGGGAGACGTGGAGCATGGGACACGTGAACTGCCGTTTCTCGAGACTCTGTGCGTGCTCAAGCAATTACTTTGACGAAACGTCCCCAAGATGGCTGAATCCAGCATTTTCAGTCTCCCATGTAAATCACCCCATTCGGGCTTCGAGTGGCTCAGGGAACCGACATTCGAGCCATCAGCGCCCCAACAAGTTCAGGACACTATGACTCGAGGCTTCCTAGGCACATTAACCTCCCCCAAAAATTAGGTAGGTAAACCTCCTTAAGATGATAGGCGCCGTGGGATCCTTCGACACTTCCGTCTGCGTCATGATGTCTGAGGGGAGATCGAGGCTCAAAATCCGAGTCGGAGGCTCCCAAGCCATGCCACAAGATTCCCCGGAGAACCGTCGCGGTCGCGCCGCCAATATGAGCCTCGAGACGTCTTTACCCGGCAAGATGGCTGATTGACCAAAACAGCAGATGCGCGATTAATCTTTATTTCCCCGGAAGGGACGGCGTAGCGGGTAGCACGAGTACGCTGCAGCCGCCGAGAGAACGCGCGTGGATTCGTTGCCCTCGGAATTCTCAGTCGTCATCGCGGCGAAAACCCCAGAAGGTATGGGAGGATCGCAGAACGCTATCCGAATCGAAATTCCCGGAGGACACGCCTTGTCCTGAAGCTTGGATTTTCCCACAGTGAGGATGGGCTTCTCGGGAGGTTTCTGTGAAGAAAGGAATATGAGGAAAATATGCCATCGATGCACTCTTCTTCCCGGGTACATGATGCGATATCAAAATACTAATGAGGCAACCCACGGGCCGTGGACATTTTGCCTGATATATTTGCCGCCCAGCACACGGCTTCCCGTGGCTAACTAAGATAGATAAATATCCATCGTCTTCCAACGCTCGTCAGGAGCAGAACTCCACGCAAGCGCTCTGTTTGCGTTCCGCCCGAGGACCCAACTCGAATATCGGAACTGAGACAAGCCCATCGATCAATAATCATAATCATTGACATGACATCAATCGTGATAAGTGATGTTGGATGAGAGACTGTGGTTTTCAGAAAGCTCTAAGGAGACGGATTTTCGATCGGTAATTCTTCATTTTTATGCATGAATTCCCGTTGACGTGTCTAAAATGTAGCTGTAGGAAAAGCAGTGAAGTGCTCAGAGTTAAGCAGGAGGCAAAAACTCGCATTTAGCGTAATTGTCTCCCATCACGTGAAGAACTCCAACACGCCAAATGCTATTCAACTCGGCTGGAGTTCGTCCCTGTGAACAATCGGATTCAGCCTACGATTCTCTTTCCAGCATCCCATGAGATTTCTAATTGACTAGTGTCGATAAGACTACGTAGTCAAAGGGAGCCCTGGAATCTCTTTGCGTGTTGGCGTCCGCTGCGAGCCCAGGACCAGGCTTGTACACTGCTCTGGCACGTTCCTCTCTTGTCGGCATCACGCTCTTAGAATTGGATGATGCTCAAAATCTCCATTGACATTGTCTCTATTCAATTCGGATGGACGAGTTTGACTTTATTTCGCGGTACACTCCGAGTTCGAATGAATTTTGTCGTCGAATCGCAATATTTTCCCGAGAGCGTCCCCCCCGTACGGAGAGTAGTATTGCGCAAGGAAGGCAAAGGACTTGAACCCCAGCTTCTCATACAGGCGGATCGCGGCCAGGTTCTCCGCCATCACATGTAAGTATACAGCGGAAGCTCCGCGCTCTCTGCACATTCTGAGACAGTCTCTCGCAAGAATGGTGGACAGCTTCAAGCGACGGTACGGAGGTTTGGTACCTATTGAGTACATGTATACAGTTTTCTCAGGTAAATAACGAAACTCGGGCGGTTTGTCGTGGATAGTTCGGTCATTGTGGAATTCTTTACCCGCGACGACTATGGCGATGAGCTCGTCATTAGCTGTAAATATCCCAAGCGACCAGTAAGCGGCCGCCGCTATATCCCAAAAGTAGCTGTCTGGGTATTTCATGGGGAAAATGTCTTCCATCAGCGATTTGATCTGGCTGAAATCTCCGGGTCTCATTGGTCTCTTGGTGAGTTCTTTGCTCTCGGGACCCCGTCTTGTTTTGCTTCGACGGTCGTGACAGTTCATTGTTCTTGCATCTTCGTTATCATTCCTGATTTCTCATCCTAGATCTATGATGTCTATGATGCACCCCTCCCGTCTATGTTACCCCTCTACCGTAATATTTCCTCCAAGATCAGGAAAGGCCATAATTGATGTAGTTGAGGATGGAGGTGTGCCTCACGAAATACACACCTGGGAAGCCTTCATCAGAACCACCCCATTATGGAGCATCGAGTGAGCGGCGAATTCGCGGAGTAATGATTGCTTTCTCGACTTTTTCAGAGCGAAATTGAGAGATCCTGAGGCCTTCCTCGGGGACGCATCCTGTAGGATTCAGTCGTACCTCGATCTGAGCATGCAGCTTCCAAGAAGGCTGTACCGTTCGACCTCGAGGTCCGAGTTCGGAATGTCTCCAACTCCTCCCGACGTTGCTGGCAGACAGCCTCAGTACCGTCTTCGATCAGTCTTCGCCTTCAAGCCCGATTTGGACGATATAAGTCGAATACGGTAGCTTTGAGCTGGCGAACCATTGGACTTTCTAACCATTCATGAATTGATAGCATTTGAGTTTGAGGAAACTTGCGAACTTGGGCGCGAAAGCTCGCACCTTGTCCCGATCTATACTCGCCGCCTCGCCGCGCGTCGGGACGCAGATAGCGCCACGGGAGGAACAAACTACCCGGCATTCCCGTATTGTGTTGGACGCGCCATTGAAAAAACCCTCATTTAACCTAGCGCTCATCATGAAAGGCGGACATCCGAGGAAACTGAGCCTCCCCAGAGTGAACTCTCGACATAGTTCCGCGCTGTCGGCGCTCGGAGACATGATTTGACGGGCAAACTGAAATCAAATTTTCTAGAAACCGGAAGTTCTCCGCGCTGAGAATGGTCGGTATGTTGTCGGCAGGGCATATTCCAGCTCGGTGACTCAAATCCCGCAATACGGTGACCAGAGGGCACTGAGATCCTCGAGGAGTTTCCCGCTCTTCCCAGTTTGATCGGGCCTGTGCATGATACATAGGGGAGAACCGCGCGTGAATCGGTACACGCCGGAATCTTCTCTGGCTCAACGCTCACTTGCGCTGCCTTGTTGAACTCTGAATTTCTCGAAAATGTTCCTCGAAAACGAATATCAATACTTTGAACCCCCCACCGGGCTTGATTTTCGACTGTCTGCGCCACTATCCGGGAATTTTTAGCGACAACCTCCATTCTGGTCGGATCGGGCTCACTGCTCCGAATCATTGGAAGGTGTAAAGTCGCTGTCCATTCCCCGGAGATTCCCAATGACATTATGTCTGGCAGACTTGGATTGATTGTGGATGGAACAGAGTGGACCCCCTCTAGCTATCACGTCTGAGGGGTTTCCCACGTGGAATCCGACGCTGTCAGCGGAATTCGATTACTCCGACTGCGAGGATTCGCGAGGCGCAAGATATCATGGATAAGGGCTGAGAGCTCTTCTGATCTGACTTATTCGGGCTGATGGTGCTCTAGAAACGTATGGTATTCCGAGCCAGACAGCTTCTGAGAAGAGCCCTCAACATTTCATGAGATTTACCATAAGAACAACTTCGGTATCCGACGGCTTTTGCGAAAAATTTTCCCAATCCGTGCCTCTGAAGTCTGGGCGCGGCAGAACTGAGCCAATGTGGCTCAAGTGTATGCGTTATGAGCACGACACGACGGGGCTGCTTCTTCACACCACGAATATTGGTGGGCAAAAGACTTTCTCTCCATCGGACGTTCGTCCATCCGATCGAGGAACGTCTCTCCACAAATCCGAGTTCCCCTAAGAGGCGGTCTAGGATACGATGTGCGCCGAACTCTGTCATTGCGCCGGCTCATTCATGAATGCAGCCTCGTTCAAGTCACCAGGTCGCGTTGTGTCTCTGTGGATAAACAAGGGTATTCGAACCCCCTCCTCCACCCTTTCCCTCGAACTCGAAAAACAGTTGGTCTCCGCGCCCGAAGCCGAGAAAGAGCCCACCTACACGTGTCATGACGTCAAAAGTATCCAGACCCGTATCTGTGAATTCCGCGAATATCAATCATCCTTCCTCCCAGAGCTTCGTTCTACGTGCGGCATGATCAGAACAGTCAATGAGCTCTACATCGTCTCATCGAGCCAAAATTTCTCACTCCATGATATCAATCGAGCAACTCCGCCTTGCGGATTGCAGGCATGGGATGTATTCGGATCTCAGAGACGAGTATTCCATGGACTTCCGAAGGGACCATTGAAGAATCGAGACATTAATTGCCCCAAGCATGCCTATTTAATTCCACTCGGAAATTCGTAGCGTCATTCAGTGTCTCTAGCGGGAATCGTGACTGTCGGACTCCACGAGATTGACGAATTTCTAGAACTGCGCTTCTCCAGCGGTCGGGCTCTTGTGAATCAGGAGCTTGGGACAGCTTGAACGTCGAAAACAGAAATCGTTCAATGGATGAGCCCTCCGCATTAAGAGCTGCGATTGATCTCTCTGATCCGAATTCATCTACAGTGACGATATGCTGCGCGATCCCTTCCTAACGGAGCAGAATATCCGCCTCCAGAATGCTCCAAGGCATATATAATCGGTCGGGTAACTCGCGGACACTCGGAGTACGAAACTCCAACTCTGTCGATGAATCGGGACTCAATATGCCTGGAACGCTCAGACGTTTTCTGAGGGCCTCCAAATATCTTGCATCTAAGTCGCGCTTCCCTCCGACGACCTGCGGCGTCCGAGAGACATGTGGCAGCGGCGTGGGACATCGAGCGCAGGATTCTGATCTGAGACGCTCATGATGCCGTGTGAATCAGGTTCCTCTTTTATTTCTACAGAGTGCTGCTCGAGGAGCTTGCGACTCCGGGATGTGTTGGACTGCTCTTACTTAGAGAAAGGGACTACAACCATCTCGCCGTGGGATAATTCTTCGTCATGTTATTCCATTCGGATCAGTCATTCCTCCAAAGCCCCATGCCGGGTTTTCCACAAGGGCTCTTCAGTTTCTCGTGTCCATGTAATAGTTTTTTCCGGGAGTTGGGGGAGGACTGCGAGGTATTTGTATAGATTACAGATCCGCTCACATGCGAGAATCCTTCATTCACGCATTCAAAAAATCACAGAAGCTACGCGGAGCGAACATACGCTGACCAGGTCCACATCTGAGACGGAAACTTAAATACAGACTCTCGAGGGCGTTCGAGATCTCCGGAGCTATACAAAATGGCGTTCATGAGATTGTGCCTTCCATTCCTTGATGAGCCTGCTCCCATCGACGACGATCCTCAGATCTCGGGCAGAACTTCCGAGGGTCCGACAGGATTTGAGCCGAGGAACCCTAGGACTAGGTCCGAGAGTTTGCCGTAGAAAACTATCGAGCTGTGCCCAAAGCCATGCGCGGCTCTGAAGGGGACGAAAGTCACCGGAGCTGCGTTTTCCACGCCTTTGCGGGCATCCCTGATGGTTTCATACAGACTAAAGCCATTTTCGAAAGGAATGGTTTGATCATCTTCAGCGTGCAGCATGAGCATCGGAACCTTTGGATTCAGTGATGAGGCTTGCGCGGTGCTATTGAAATCCACGGCAGGATCGTTCTCGAAGGGTTTCACGAATATTTCGTCGAACCACGGTATCCATTTAAATGGTTTCGAGAGCCGGTTGTGGACGATGACATTGCCCACGCTGTCCAATGCGGCTTCCAGGATTATCGCTGCAGGATCGTCGTCTTGCTCATGGAGCTTCCTCGCCAGATACATGGTCACGGATGTTCCAAGGGAATGACCCCAGATAATAATCTTGCTATTCGGCATGATATTTCGAAGTCTTTTGTATGCAGCAAGAGAATCGTTGACAACGCCGCTCAAGCTCGGCGTCTCGTTTGTGGAGTCCCCGAAGCCGCGATAGTCGATGGCGACGACATGAGTCTTCACTCGACCTGCCATCTTCTGCATGAGTTCCAGGCGATTCCTCGCACTCCTGGTTCTAGTTATCCCATGAAGATAAAGCACGGTCGACGAGTTCCCGGGAAACCATTCTTTGTCGGCAAAGCAAGGCATATCTTGTGACTGCATGTACCACGAAGCAATCCTTACTCCGGGATCTGACGTTGTGAAGAAGTTTCTTGAACAATTGAGACCGAAGCTTTCAGGATCCGAGAGTCCCTCGGAGCTAGTCAGGAAACTCAGGAACAAGATTTGCCGACGCACAGTCGTTGAGAGGTTTATACTGAGAGGGACGCCAATGTAGATTAGGAGTACCAGGGCAATGAGCATTATTAGGAGAGCGAGCAAAGTGTTTTTGAAAATATTAGGTCTAGCCTTAGTCTCCGGTAAGTCACCTCTCTCCATGGTATTATAATTCGAAGCGTTGGCGAAGGCTTGCAGACGCAGATCTTCGCGCGCCGTCGCGGTCAACGACATTCTGACGCTCCTGGAAGCAGATGTCACAGATGTCAACGACTCTGCAAAATGAACGAAGAAGCTCTTACATTCTCTCCGTCTCATAAAGGCATCGGAAGCGCCCCGGAGACGCCGCCGGACGAGGGCGTCGGTGCCCGAAAATCTAGAATCTAGGGGGTCTGCGAACTCCGATTACATGGTATTAATGACTCTCGGGTAGAGCGCTCTCGACCAGCAACACCGCACTGCAGAAATCGACAGGCGTCTCCGGATGTGTTGCCTGATGATGCCAGGACACTGGCGGGAGCGAGTGAAACAGAAACTTTCTACGCTCAGAACTGAGTGCAGCGCTACACGGTAGACTTACTGGGATCCACGAGCCGTGAGGACTTTGGCGGCCTCTGGCTCCGCGACGTGCCCACAAACTCCACAATCCGGAAAGCTTCCAGAGCAGTCACCGATGGAGAGAGCGTGCTTATCTGTTGACGGCCGCCAGGCTTGCCCTGAGAGAGTGAAAAACAACACTTAACACGTGACTGTCGAGCTCGCCACAGCTCTGCATGGGAATCGTTATGCGCTTTAGCCTTCCTAAAAAATCGATGCCTAGTCACAGTCATTTGAACTCTTCCGCGGATTCGTCCTTCGTCTCGTGGTTCTCCGTTACGACTAAATAGAGTGGATTAGCTACATTCGCTTAGCCTAGCTGATAAGGCGCGTTCTTGTGAGGGCTCGAAACGACTCTTCGCGAAAAAGAGGGGGCCGATCAATGAGACGTCCTACAAATCTGAACGAGGTTCCGAACTATTTCGGCTCAATAACTGCTGCAAACAGGTCCTGTCGTCTTAGGTTACATCGACATGTGACTAAGTTTGATCATCGAGCTATGTAAAGCGGAATTTCTGACCCCCCGTAGGCAAGTATGACAAGTCTTGTCTCAGTCAGTCAGACCCAGGGGTCCTCGATCGAGGGATGGCACAGTGGTCGGAAACCACGGAAAATCATAACTTCTGAACGGCTGGACCGATTTCGCTGAAATTTTTATCGTGGGTTATTGGGCCTAAAACGCAACTTTTGAGGATATAACTGGGTCTGGGTTTGACCCCGGTGACCCCGAGAATCGAATTTTTTTCACTAAATCGGCGATTGCGGCTAAACGGCTGAACCGATTTTGGATGTCTTGGTGGCGTTGGAAAGCTGAGTGAATTTCGCATCTTTTTGTCTCCTGAGAGTTTGACCTATGACCTTTCGTAAGCGAGCTAGCGGCCGATTATTAGAAGCGCCGATATCTCCACGAAAAATGCTTCGTTTTTTTCTCGCAAAAAAACGATTCGGCGTGGAATTGGATGATCTACCCGTTTCTGACGATATTACAATCATTTAGTAAAGACGAAAAAAATATTTTTTTTCAAGTCAAAAATCACGTTTTTTTGCAGTTTTTTCACGAAAATGCCCCACCCCTCTAGGTCCGTAGACCCACCAACATTTTTTTATGATGCCCCCCACGCCCCCGCATCCCATGAAGGTCATGTTGGGCACCCCTTCCGGGATTATCTACCTTTAAATCCGGAAAAACCCTTTAAATGGCAATTTTTCATAGAGAAAAATTCTTAAAATTAATTTCAGGGCTAAAAATTCGCTGGATCGGCTTTATTCTTGTAGAAAACCGCGCAAATCAACTCAGAACTTCGAATTCGCCGCCAGCGACGCCATCTTTGGTGCCGCCAGCGCCGCCATCTTTGGCGCCATTCGGTGGCCTCATGATGAACGCGCGGGACAGTCGATTCGCCACACGTGTTAGTGCTTGTGCAGTTCAAGGGCCGGAAACTCTTGCGATGAAGTCGTACATGCTTGTGATACCCTACGGGGATCTTATGGACTTCTTCCTATCTAATCAATTCGACCTGGACCTCATCATGGAAGATATCCAGCATCGGTCCCACATGATTCATCAAGACGATCTCAAGGAGTTCAGAGCACACTTGAGCAAGAACATCTTGCCGAACTTCACGAAGAGGTGGAAAGCAACCGGTCGCTGCAGAATCAAGTTCGGGGAGAAGTACCAGGATTGTTTGAAGAAGTATCTGCTCGTGAACGTTGACGTCGATGAGTCCCGGGAGGCTCCTTGAAATCGTCTTGATGAATCATGTGGTACCGATGCTGGATATCTTCCATGATGAGGTCCAGGTCGAATTGATTAGATAGGAAGAAGTCCATAAGATCCCCGTAGGGTATCACAAGCATGTACGACTTCATCGCAAGAGTTTTCGGCCGTTGAACAGCACAAGCACTAACACGTATGATGGCGAATCGATTGTCCCGCGCGGTGTTTATGTAGCCGCCGCGGCGGCACCAAAGATGGCGTCGCTGGCGGCGAATTCGAAGTTCTGAGTTGATTTGCGCGGTTTTCTACAAGAATAAAGCCGATCCAGCGAATTTTTAGCCCTGAAATTAATTTTAAGAATTTTTTCGCTATGAAAAATTGCCATTTGAAGGGTTTTTCCGGATTTAAAGGTAGATAATCCCGGAAGGGGTGCCCAACATGACCTTCATGGGATGCGGGGGCGTAAGGGGCATCATAAAAAAGTGTTGGTGGGTCTACGGACCTAGAGGGGTGGGGCATTTTCGCGAAAAAACTGCAAAAAACGTGATTTTTTACTTGAAAAAAAAATATTTTTTTCCTCTTTACTAAATGATTGTTATATCGTCAGAAACGGGTAGATCATCCAATTCCACACCGAATCGTTTTTTTGCGAGAAAAAACGAAGCATTTTTCGTGGAGATATCGGCGCTTCTAAGAATCGGCCGCTAGCTCGCTTACGAAAGGTCATAGGTCAAACTCTCAAGAGACAAAAAGATGCGAAATTCACTCAGCTTTCCAACGCCACCAAGAATCCAAAATCGGTTCAGCCGTTTAGCCGCAATCGCCGATTTAGTGAAAAAATTCGATTCTCGGGGTCACCGGGGTCAAACCCAGACCCAGTTATATCCTCAAAAGTTGCGTTTTAGGCCCAATAACCCACCATAAAAATTTCAGCGAAATCGGTCCAGCCGTTCAGAAGTTATGATTTTCCGTGGTTTCCGACCACTGTGGATGGGTTGGACTGGAGGAGTGTAAGCCTTGGCTTGGGACGATCATCTTCACCGAGCTGTGCAGCCATGACGTACTCTTGTATCTTATGCATATGACTATATGATTCCCGCGCGCCATGGATGAAATCATCACTGATCAGATCTCTGGTTGGGGGAGAAAGAAAATCCTGTTGCCCGCTCGCTTTTGTCAGTCGGCTGTGGAGATTCATGCCATTCACGTGACGAAAAAAAACTTCGGCTCAACATAACCCGAAGCTTTTCGAATATGACACCCCTCCGTTCTCGTCGAGTCATTGACGTTTTCTGCGAAGGCTCGATGGCAGTTCCGTGGAATTGAGTCGCCGACGTAGAATGGGACCTAGAATTTTGAGTTGTACCTACATGGAACCACCGTACAAAGAAAGCTCGCAAGACCACTCAGGAGCCCTTCCGAAGAAGTTCATGGCCTCCGCGGAGTGCCCGATATCGAGGTGCCATCCGAGAATGCCAAGGTCTGAAGTTCCTAAGTTATCCCTGCCTCCCCGATTGTGAGTCTTTTCCGCCGGCTAATGTGTTCCAGGTTCGTGACACGGACCGATCGTAGCATCCGAGATGGGTAATCTTTACGGTAATCTTTGCGGCTCGCTACGCGGTTGCTTTCTTGAGCGGGAGAGCGTGTCAATCGTTGTGAAGTTTAGAATCCCGATCGACACGCCTCAACCTAATCGTTCCCCTCCGCGGAGCTCTCAGCTATCATTGTTCGCCCGCAGCTTACCCTTTGTATCTGAGGATTTATCGTCAGACCCGTCGCGGAGCGGACGGAGTCCCTTGACGTAGGTCTCAAGTCTGTGGTCGCACGAAACGAAGAATGGCCGGGGAGGGCGCATTCACGCGACGCGGTTGTTTGATCAGTCGCATAAACGGGAAATGATTGCTAAGCTGTCTAAACTTCACCCAGGAGCGTAATATTGCATCCTCCGATAGGTTCTCTCGAGGGTTGAGCGGAGGCTTCACGTAGCCCAGCAGATCCGTCCTCCCGTTTGGAAAACTGAGAGTAGAATCGCCCGAATCTATGCCTGCTCACAATCCTCACATGTCTGTTGGAAGGGGACGATGAATTCGTCCATTCTCATCGTACGGCCTGCGAATCATATCCTCCAATCGGTTGCCACTTTGAACCCGGAAGTCTTCAGCGGTTTGGAAACCGCGACATCCAAAGGCTGAATGGTATGCGTGGCGTTTGGCAGGAGGGGTAGCGGTACGAAACCGTTGGCTTCACAGAAAGCAGTAACTTCACCAGCAGTCCAGATAAAGTCATTCGGGGACTTCTCTGCGAGGATCCTTGCGGACGAATTGCTCTCGGATTTATATCGAGGGAATGGCCGAGAAGTCGAGCTGCCCGCGGAGATTCTCTTCCCGGTCAGTCTCTCATCAGTGCTTCCACGAGCCACAAGCGTAGAGCAGAAGTTCTTTGGATCCTGATCGAGAGATTTCGGAGGGCCCGTACAAAGCAATGAGATAGTGATACTGCGGTATGAACGGATCGAGCCTCCTTTGAAGTCTCCATGTGCTCTTTAGGTTTCCTTATGAGTCATAAGGGCATATGACTTTCCGTATTTCCTGTATTATAAGAGCGCCCTCCATTAGAAGAGCACCCACGGGGAGATCGAGAAATAAAAGAGCACCCTCCAATGGAAGAGCACCCACGGGGAGGTCGAGAAATAAAAGAGCACCCTCTATAAGAAGAGCACCCTCTATTCGAAGAGCAGCCCCAGGTGGGTATTCATAATCCTGCGACCTGATGCAGGCAAGACAAGTGGAAAATTCCGCGTCTTCTATCCCACGGATGCCCTCTCGAGAAGCATTCTCTTCGAAGTCCGAATGGAGAATAACCATATTATAGACAGGTACCCTCTACTAGAAGAGCACCTTCTAATAGACGAACGAGCTGTTGAGGGATTGAAAAATAGAAGAGCATTCCCGAAAGAGGTTCAAGATGAGCTCAGATCGCTGTGTGTGTGTGTGTGTCGTACAATGCCGACTTTGTCGCTAACATGATCTTGGAACAAATGCCGACGTGTAGCTACTTCTTACCGGGAGAGCCGATGCGAAAGGCTTCACAGCGTGCTCGAATGCCGGCAAATGTAATCGGAGACAGTGAACGAGATTGCCGGGGCGGACTCCATGTCATTCACCGAGACTATTCGAGCATACTGACCTCTGCCTGACGTCAAAGCAATCTTGGGTGATGCCGATTATTGATATCGACTTACCCAGGTTCTCCCTCAGAAGTCTGTAGGCCAGAATCCGTTCCCGAACCTTAGTATCCGTGGTGATACTCCGAGCGTTCAGTGAGAAATCGACCAGGGCAGATCCAGGACCCGCATTGATCCGAAGAATGATGGGAGGAGGGGTTCCGGGGGAACGGTAAGGGTTCGCCCCTTGCTTCTGAGTCCTTCACTCCAATGGATCATCCCTGAAACCGACCCTCGATAAGTCATTGACTCAGTCTCTCATCAAATTGAGAGTATCAGGATATTCGTTCGTCATTCTTTATCCATCGATGAATCATTTGTTTCTCGTCATCTCAAAGGATCCCCCCTGCCCGAGATCAGGACGGAGCTGTCGCTCTGTGGCGCACCATCAAGATAACATGAACCGCAGAAGTCTGCAAATAGCTGGGATTCGATATACCGTGTGGAGAACTCCGATGGAGACTCAGTCCGGAACCCCGCCGAAAATACTCAAAGAGATCCACGCCGCGCCGTAAGATGCACCTCTGAATCCAATCGCCGCCGCGCGTCATGATCGGATACGGCGACTGCATTTCCGTGCATTAGCGACTCCCGGGCTGTGCGCTCAATTCCCCCAGGATTGAGAGCCTGATTCACGTCAAGAACGTGCATGATACTGTAGCATCGAACGAAGGAATACTCGTGGTCGAGACGCTTTCTCTGCGCTGTTGAGGCTGCTTGACTGGAAATATCCCTCTCGGATGAGGCTCGTGCACGGGGGAAGAGGGTATTCATCGCTGCATAAGTAAGATAACTGAAGAGCGGCAAGAACGCTGCGCTCTTCCCTCCTTGTCTGACTCAGTCAGATTATTCCACGGGCAGCCGTCCCGTTCCCCGCGCATCATTCTCTCGGCGAGCGTTCGAATTTAGCGCGCCGTGAACTCAGCTGTTCCTCTGCGAGGTCCGCTGCTGTTTTGATGCTTATGAGGAGCTGAGGGAAGAAGACTCTGACTAATTAAGCTCACGAAACAGTTTACGAGTTTTCTGTATGCCGAGAAATGTTGTACTTCTGGTTCGTGACGCTTTGTGGCCTCTTCTACGCGTTCGTGCCATCCATAGCTCGTTGGATTGTGCACAAACTCTTCAATGAGAGCGACCAAGAAGTAAGTTCGAAGCTGACAATTAATCGCCATGGATCCGTATGATTATATGTTCGATGTGTTCAAGGAAAAATGGTCTCGTCCCCGATAAGCACATTGACTCTGATCATGATCAGAAAGCAGCTTTGTTAGATTCGCCTCAAGGCGCATCACACGGAGACTATTCTGTATCAATTCATGGTTCGGATCTAGGATAGCTTCAGATGGGAAATTTGTGGAAATCGCAGAGTGATGGCTTCCCTCGGTAGCCCTGAGGGGTCTCCCTCTGCCAGAGCGTGCCCAATATGTAGGCGATCCCCTGCGACGCCATCGCGCATCCAGGCGCTTTTTCAGCCTGCGCCGGCCGCCGTGTTTGAGATCGCGGAGAAATTTGTAAACATGAGGTTTTCCCTCTCTCCCCATGTTCAGCTTGCGAGCCGTAAGTCGAACTGGCAGATTCCGAATGAGCCATATGACTAATCGACACGCGACTGACGATTGGTATCGTCAGTCGTCAGAGTCCCTGGGCTCTGAGTCGACTTCTTCCTCCCTGCGGTTCGCCGCCTCGTCAGTCGCATCTCTGTCTCTTCGAGCATCGTTTGCCAAAAATAAGTTGGACGGAAGCAGCTGCTCTTGATTTGTTCATGGTGCTCAATCCCGCCGTCCCGGAACGAGATGCTTTAGACCTGGCATCATCCTGCCGACAAGGGTGTGTCGATCATGGAGGTCGAGTGGCACGGTTTGAGACTGAAGCCATCGCCGGCCGTGCTTGAATTAGACTCCGCAGACGGGAGGAGCACACCGGCTTGGAAAGGCCCTCTGGAACTCTCAGCATGGGACTGCTTCTTCGTAGTTTTGGCAATAGTCTCCATCGGTCTCGACATACTCTCCGACTGCTATGTTGCCTACGCTCATGCGCTCAACGAGCGGATTACGATGATGTGGTTGAGCATAGTCTTCATCGTTGTACCTGCGTGGGTCTCCACTTTGGTGTCTCTCCTCATGATCCTTCAGGATCGGCAAAATAACGTCAAAATGCAGTGGACCTGGCGATGGATAACTTTGTTCCACATATTCCCTCTGGTCCTCGTTCCTCGTTACGTGAACTCATTGAGCTTCGGTCTCAAATCTCAACAAAAAAGCCGGCCGAAACTCGCTCGTCAGGTGCTCTACTACAGGATGCTGTGGGAGGACTACGATGCGGCATACCTGCGCCTGATCGAGGCCTTCCTCGAAGCCTGTCCGCAACTCCTGGTGCAGAGTGTTTTCATCTTCCGATCCTACAGCGAGTTGCGAGACGAATCTTCGTATTTTTTTCTGCACATCGCCATACCCCTAGCGCTGAGTCTCTTCTCGTTGGCGCACGCTGTCGTTTGCTACAAGCGCAGCCTTAGGATATCTCAGAATGAGAAGCGTATGACCTGTAGTGGCTCAATCACGCTTCTCCTTTCTCAGATCTGCCTGATTTCGAGTCGTGTGATAGTTCTGACTTTGTTTATAATTGAAGTCCCTGTGCCAATAATTCTCGGCGCGCTCATCGCGCGGATTTTCTTCAACATGACATGGTTGTATATGTTTTTGGAGTTTTTCCACGTCGACTCGAAAGTCGAATCATTCGTTTTGCGAGGAGTGCTGTCCGTGATGTATCTTTTCACTTACGTCGATTTCAGCCACGGAAATAGCGGTAAACGACATCTAGTGCACCATATCGCCACTGTCATCGATTGTGGGGCTCTTTTGACCCTGTACTATATTTACGCATACCATGTGAATGTATATTGCATCGTAGCGGCAATATGTCTATATCCTCTAGGACTCATGCTCCTCGTGTTTTATTATTGTAAATGCCATCCAACCAGCATGAGCGACGGCGTACACGTAGTCCACGTCGAGCAATCTCTCTGAAATTCCCTAAGCGACACGCTATGCCACATATCATCGATAGCAACGCTTTCCTCGCTCCCGGTAAAATCAAAAGGTTCGGAGCTCCCGGATACTAAGGTATGACCGAACCATCTTGAAGGGCTAGCGGGGGAAATATCGAATCCTGCGGGGTATTTTCCTCGAATGATCGTGTCCCAAAGAAGACTCAATAAACTTCGGAAAGCAATGTGTACTCTCAATCAGGCTTTGAATGGTTGCTTACGAAGGAACCCGATCGCCGGACGCGATCCAACCACGACATTAGCCGGCATCAGATACTGACACATCAGACAAACTGGCGGACAAGGGATAGTCTGAGAAAACTTAGGTTCGCTGCGCAGGAGACTTGATTTATTTACATCATGTGGTCCATTGCCAGCAGGAGATGATTATGTACATCGTCACCAGAACACCACGAACCGCGGTTCGGAATTCAGTTCTGTGTGTTCATCAACAGAGTGATATTCTCCCCTTTGAGTAGAATACGTCCAATCGTTTTGCGGTGACCGGTTTTAACGTAAACTTCTTCAGCCTCATCAAGAACCAAGTTCATGTACTCATCAAAACCTGGAAAAAAGGATATTAGTGACTTGAGATTAGATCAATGGCCCACGCCCATTCTTGAATATCGATTCTCCCCAGGGTGCGTCCAGCTCTTGATTCCGCAAACGAGCCTCACAGCCTGGAGAATCAGTAGCGGCACGGGCCAGGCGATCGCAGCCCCCCTCCCGTAATCGTATCATATTCCCAAACTACCCCTGTCAGAAAACCAAGCGGGAAACGAGCTTTCTCCTCCTCATAAAGAGTCTATTGATCGGTCCCCCGCGAAAGTCACAGGATCCGGCACTGTGAAGAATCTTACCGATAATGTATCCTTCGATGCGGAGGCTTGTGTTTTCATAGAGCCAGACTTGTATCTTCGCTCGGTTCTGAAGATAACGGAAGATGAGGTTGATGGGTTGGACCATCACCTTCTGAACTTTGGTGTTGCCCTTGTACATGATGAAGTTCACAGTTTCACACAAAATTCACTCCAATACGAAATTCGGACCGGCGTGATATGGATGCCTCGATTCTGAGCTGCGCACAAGCAAACAAACAGTTCGGAGGCGCGCGTCGTCTGCGCGGGCTCGGCCGCGCCAAAATTCGATTCCTTCACGATCAGAGAGGCGAGCTGATGAAATCCACGATGGATATTTCGACCGACGGGGGCTCGACCGTACAGCGCGTTCCTCGCTCATGTCTATTGTGTACATGATAGTTGAATGAGACTACAACTCCCCCGTGTAGTAGGTAGCGAAAGAGTGAGTGGGGATGGAAAATTATCGGGGACGCGGCCTCGATCCTCCTGGCTCCAGGCTACATTGTGTGCTCACTGGATCCGACCTCGGAACTTATTGGATTCACTTTTTTCATATTTCCAAATGCACATATTATCCTTTCTCTTCAGGGTAGGGGAACAATGCCTGAGACCTCAAACCTCGGCTGTGAGCACCAGCCCAGAAAAGTTTATGGATATTGGACTCTTCAGTACACTTCGTCTAGCCGACGATCAGGCGAATCGCATCGAGGAGATTTGAACTTTTTCTCAATTCTTCCGACACAGGTGAATCTGAAGAAGGAGCTCAGGAATCTGATAAAAGAGCGATCCAGCGTCAACCCAGTGGAAACTTTTGCGGTATACGCTCGGATAAACCGCAAGATAGACCGCGTCCGCGAGAGATTGGGTGAAATCAACCAGGACAACTTCAAGTACATATACAAGATACGTCTGATAGCCACCGTCATTCTGTACGGTTTGATCTCCCTGGTGAATTTCTACCTAATCTGGAACTACAGGTGAGCGCTCTCGCAGCCGGCGATCGAGGATGCGTCGAGTCGGGCAGTATCAATCTTCGTGAGCCGTTCTGTAAAATTATTCTTCCGACAGGACCGTCCCGTTGCTCAAGGTGCCATCGAACTGGTTAGATCCTTTCGGCAAGCTCGCACTCCAGAACGATACCGGTCTCGGTCTGATTCCGTGGCTGGTGATATCAGCCTCCATGGGACGCGTAGTGATGCACATCTTCAAGAAAGACACTGCCATTCCACAGAAAGAAGCCACAGCGCCGAAAGCGGAAGCCTCTTAGGGAGCCGATCTCTCATGACGACAATTGAATCGCTCATCTAAACTCATAAATATGAATGACTGCCTGCCTGTACTCATCGCCTAATCTCTAAATTGTCGTATCGGATAATGATGGAAGGGTCTCGCAGGATTTGTGCCCCCTTTTGAAAATCACTTCGGCGACCTTTTTCAGAAAGCTGGTCGCAGAGCGACAACCGAGAACACGTCCGAACGCTGAGTCCCAGAGCTTTCATTTTCGAATCAGATCAAAAAAATGATCACCCGGGACGGATTTATACGACGATTTTTTTACTCGAAAACTATATCGACGATTTCGCTTATTTTTATTTTTGCGGACTGTTCTCCGCGAAATCAGACTCTGTACGAAGTTTTACAGTTGTTTAGAGCATGTTTGAATACCCGGAAACCCTTTTTCCATTGGATAAGCCCGATTGGATTCTACGACCATTCGAGTCGGCTTGCGGAGGCTCTATCTAAGAAACGCTCGATCGTACAGAGCCGAAGAAAGTCGCTGGGTAGCCGATGAATCACTGCCTCGATGTAATCACATGAGCATGGGTCGACCGCGGACTCGGGCTCTACGATTCGCCCCAGACTCGGACCCCAGCTTCAAGGAATGAAGCTCAGGGAATTCGCCGATATTGGTGCTATTGTCCTAATGTAAACCGCACTGTCGGCTGCTGCTATGTGGCCTGCGTTATTCACTACTTATCGCATGCGCGGTGCCTTCCGTCGATCCCACGTCCCGCGGAGGAGCTGTCGAATCTCTTCTAGCGGAGGGATTCGATGGAGAAAAGGGTTTTCGGGCATTTAAACATAATTACAGTTGAGCAGCCATTCTTAAACTTGGTACTTGGTACAGAGTCTTATATCGCGGAAAACAGTCCGCAAAAAAAAGGATCAGCGGAATCGTCGACATAGTTCTCGAGTAAATCGTCGTATATCTCCGTCCCAGGTGATAACTTTTCCGATCGGATCAGCGCAAATGGGAGCTCTGAGTTTCAGCTCTCAAACGCTTCTCCGATCGTCGCTCTGCGACCAACCGTTCCGGATTCCGGAGATACAGCTTTCTGAGATAGGTCGTCGGAGCAATTTTCAAAAAAGGCCACAAATCCTGCGAGACCTTTGGAAGGCGTGCCCCTGTCCTTCAGGATGTTGAAGTCTGCTGTTGCAAGATAAGGAGACACGACCTTTTTTTCCGTCTTGTCCGCTTCTTTTACTTTTACAGAAAGAGTCCGCTTCCCGGAATTCGGGGAAACGGCGTCGAACTTTGATAGGAAAATGACTTCCCGCGCCATTTCCTCGCCCTTAGTATCGGCACCGAATCGGCTTCGAACGATGGTTCACTGACATGAGAACTGAAACACTTTAAACCCAGCCGTGTGCAGCTCATCGGGGAAATCGTGGGACGAATTGATCAACTCGGTAGATCGGGCAGCATACAATCCGTTTTCGATGTCCACTTTTTGTCCCTATGTCCACGCAGACATCTTCCTTTCTCCGGGATAGAAATGTCTCCTCATATCGCATCTCTATATGACCAATCTAGCCCTTTACTCAAGAGGGGAAGCCCAATTTAACAGTGCTCTCTCGATCCCCTGATTCTAAATGAACCTTTTCTCGATCAATAGGAGGCTAGCTGTGTCAATTGACGGGTTGTTGAGAGCCTTGCGCGTTTGTGACTACTCGTGCAAACGTGTGTTTCATTCCACGACATGCCGCAGCGACGCCGCTCAGGCGGGGGTGGCGTAGGTTCGATCCCTGCTGCCGGCGGAATATTCCTAATGGGAGCGCAGGTTCTCGGTCTCGATCCTTCCGCGTACATTTGCTCTCAGGATCCGTCTTCGGAAGCAATGTGAAAAACAATACCTGGGATGTCGAGATAATTCTGGATACATCATAGCCGGGAACGCTAGTGTAAAATAATATTGTATAATGCTAGTCTTGGGCGCTCGCACATTGTAATTGAGCGAAACGGTCATCTGAGGCTCTATGATCTTCGGAAATTGCATTTCGTTAGCTTGCAAGCTCAGGAATACAGTCTCGAGAATGAATTCGATCCATCAGGAGTTGTGTATTTGGATATGAAAGATAAAGATGTTATTTTATTTACATGGAATATCGAGCCTCAAGGCCCTGAAGTGCCCCGCATACGTGGAAGCTGTTGTTTCCTATGAACCCATCGTTGACGAAGCCTTCGGTCTCATGGGCACCAATGTGAGAGACCCTCTTATGCGGGATCTTAGTTAGAGCGAATATGATTACGACTCATAGAGTTCCTGAGGACACATTCTGGCTCGATGAATTGCAGGAAGGAGACGACGATGACCTTCCTTGAGGAGTCCGAGGCTGGATTGGGATCTTACGCGATAATCGGCTCGAATAATCAGAGAGCTCTCACTGGATCCAGCTCCGTGTGACTAGGCTTCGACCATCTGCTTTTCGGTCTTATCCGATTTTTGTTTCTTGGCTCGGGGCACCGCTTCAGATGGATCTCCAGCCGCTCTTTCGGGAGAAGTCCTGACATCATCATTCAGAACCTCCGGCAAACGTATGTCCTCGGTCTCGGCAGTATCGGCGGGCGGGGTTTCTTTCTCACCTACGAGTTCTTCGAGCTCGGAAATGAGCTCATCCTCGTCGACCTAAAATCAGAGGGATTTGAGCAGCCTGATCCTGGGCAATTTGAGCGAAATCTTTGCGTCCTGCATCTATTCGAGCTGAGAACAAAGATTGTCGATCGCGACGCTTCGTCTGTCGGCTCGACTCACCTCTATTTCTCCCGCGAAACCAACTATCAAATCATTGACTTCCTTCTGTTTTTCTGCGGCCTCTTTGGTTTCATCCAGCATCTTTTCGATGTCTTCGATGTTCAGCAGCGCGTTTAACGACTTCAGGGCTTCATTACCCTTCTCGAGGTTCTGGACCACGTTAACCTCCACCTGAGCCCACTCGACGTCCTGAGTCAAGCTCTCAATTTTCTCGATATGACCCTCTGTGGAAGAAAGGAAGATAGATAATGACGGCTAATGACCGATCGGTGGGGCAATCTGAATTTGGCTTGCAGGTAGAGGAGGGAGAAACTTCGAGCGTCATCGAATCAGATCGCCCGAGCCGATACTTGCCCACATTTTGAATGAGCTTTTCCATGTGTTTTTTCTTCCTGAGGATTATCAGAGCTCGTTCCCTCTTGTTTTCCCGAACGAGTCGAGCTGCCACCCCGCGCTCCTTCTCAAGACGGTTCTCCAACTGCCTCCTGTACTGCTTCAATTTATCTCTCTGTTGTTTCATTTGGAGTACAACTTTGTCTTGCTCAGTCACGCGACTCGTGCTCGCTTTCTTCGCGTTTGGTTTGCCGAAAAGATTCCCCATCCTGTAACTTGCAATGAAAACTATGAAATGAGCTATTCGACGCTTCCATCATTCTAAATACGATGATGACGATTTGTCGATCAATGGCAATCACGCTGGCTACAATACTCATGCAAGCAACCCGGAAGTTCTATCGATCGAAGCTCCGAGAACGAATTCGTAAAGTTGTAGGAGGAATTCGAATCCCTTGAAAATTGAAGACACCTGGCCAGAATTTCACATCCCCACGCTTTATCTTACATTTCGAACTATGGCACACATCACGACTCAATACCTACAACGTTCGACTGTCCTGTTCATGGGCAGTGGCCAACGGACATTGCGGAAATAGGGGATTCTCGGAAAGAAGCTCGAATAACCTAAGAAGCTCTGTCGGAGCCAGGGAGTAGAGTTTGGTGTTCACGTTTAGATGAGTCAGCTCCTTCCGACTCCATCTAGTCTTTAAGAGTACGTCCCGAGCCGCATTCGGAATCAGCTCATTTAGGTACAAGAGAGTCGCACCCCTCGTGAAGGCTTGTCGTACAAAAAAGGAAAATTCTTCCACTCTCTCCGGTGCATCGAACCTACTGAGGAACTCGTTGCTCGGGCTCAGTCTCACGAGCTTCATAACAGATCGTTTCTTCGTCTTCGAGCTCATGAGATCCCGATCTGAGTTGAATCGAAACGCCTCACCACCGACAGAGGCCAAGCATTGATGATTGAAGAACATGTGGAAAAGCAGCGGTGCCGGCCTCGCCTTCATTCGCCGGCATGCAAACATTTGGGAGTATTCGTCCTCACTCAAAAACATAAGGAACTCGACGTCGGACACCGAGAATATCAGCGATCTTGCTGCGTATGAATGTAGCAGGCTCAAGAGGAATCTCCGCTGTCGAGCCCGCGGCACAGATAGAACCATAGTGATTTTCGGGTTATCGGAGCCGCTCACGTGATTGATCGTTTGGAAGCAATGACCGAGCCGATTCGAGCCGTGGATGAGGTCGAAGCGCGCCAAGGACGCCATTCGTACTAAATTTTCGCTTAGCAGTTCCACGCGGTCTGGGTTCTCGGCCCGAATCTGTTCCACATCATTGTAGAAGGCCGACCATGTTGGCTCACAGAGGAATAATCGCTGCACGCCGGAGTTTAGTAACTGCTTCGAAAGAATCCCAGGTCCCGGGTTCGCTTCAAGGATGAGCCTGAAAGCAGCATAATGCGTAAGCTTCTTCAGGAAGGATAGATACACCGTTATAAATATGGTGCAATATCGGTTCGCCGATCCAGTCTCAATCTTGGACAGGTTTCACTTACCTCCCGGCGGCGATATCCCCTCTGAGTTCTTCGGCTACAATGCTCGCCACGTCGGGATCAGAAATGTAGATAGCGTCGTGATTCGACCTGCGTTTTCGCTCGCTGACTTGAGAGGCGGTTACATCTTCCTTCGAAGTCTTCGAAGATGATTCCCGTCCTCGAGTGGATATCAGAGCGGGAGCCAGGTTCGATACGATTTGAGTCAATCTCGGGAGGGTTCTCAACATTTTGAGCCAATGGGTCGAGCGCAAGATCTTTTCAGACTAATCTAATTCAATCGGATCCTGCTGATGCCGCGGTTTGCTTTCACGGGAATCCCGGCGAACCCCGAAGACACTGCTGTACGATTTCTGATGTCACATACCGTGAGACTCGAATCGGGGAGACAATGGTATGATTGAAAACCGATCGGAGCTCCCGCGTGAAATTTCCCTTCAAGAGTATATAGGCTCCCCGTGGGTGAGACAAGTCCACCGAAACGCACCTTCAATTAGGAAGATTCCGGCCGAGTATCTTTAGGAGTTGTTGGCCAGTGAATGATTGCTGTTTCGAACATCCACTAAACCGAACAATGGGCACTGTATTTTCGTTGTGTCTCTAAAGCAGACGATGCTCTCTCTTCCCTCTCTCCCCAAGTGAGTATATATAGACAGCGAACGGGCGAGGAGGCCCGAGGCGCGCTCGTTTCAACTGAGGGCACCCCTTTCCCCGTCGCAGTATGTTTCTAAGAGGAAGAATTATCAGAGGGGACTGAACTGTTCCCGAAGGGAACGAGTTCTTCGCCTCGCAGCCCCTCCGCAGGTGGGGAGCCCTTCAGATATCCGGCACGCTCTCCATCAAACTTTGCCCTCTTCGCATGTTGATTGCCCGAGTCAGTCGTTGCAGAAAATTGCCTAATGGTTCTCTTGTGAGCCAGTGCTCTGCGCTCGCTTCGTAGTCAGGGGCGTAGAATACTTCGACGTCGTCTTGGAAAAAATTGAACAGAAGATGCGCTCCGTAACCCGGCCGTCCGCTCACTTTTTTCTCCGGGTTGATAAGACTCAAAAAGCCTGATATTCCCACGTTAGACACCGAGAAAGCCAGCATCGATGGCGGTCCCGCGTATCTTCGAAGAGATCGGACCTCATCTAGGAATTTTTTGATTCCGGGTTTCGCGAATGTATTTACCGCCGAATCCGTCATTGTTCTGTATACTTCTGAGGTCAGGAGCAAATTTTCCCGGATACCCTTCGGTTGCTCGAAAGTCGTGGGAAGTTCACTGGCTACATCCTGAATAACGTCCAGACAGTCCGCGATGACGATTTTGCACAGGCTCCGGAAATAGGTCACGATTTTTTCGTCGACTTCATCGCGAGGAACTCCAATCTTTTCCATGCACTCGATAACGCCGATGTCGAAAATTTGCCTCCGATCTCTGGTAACTCGCGACGAAACGTCGACCGGTATCCGGATCGAGTCATACTTCTCAAGCCCTACGGCTTGCATGAATAAGTCAGAGTTCCTTTCGCTCGAAGTGCCATTGAAGCTCATAAGCTTTCCATGTCTAACTCGAGAGAAATAGCCTCGGTATTGTTGCCTGAGTCTCTTCCCAAGCTTGCTTATCTGCTCCCGACCTTGACTAGTCAAATCTCCCGGCTCAATAGATCCCCTGAGCTTTCGAGGAACCGCGCGGAAACGCTCGCCGTGCCGAAATACGACGGCGAGATCCTGGAGATCGATGAGAGCCGACTCGCATCCTGGTGTCCACAGCACGTACATCGCGCTACACAGAAGCACTAGCAGGAGCGCGATGGTGAATATGCTGCCGAAGATATAAAAGAGCCTCTCGGTCGAGGGACTCAATTGTTCAATGGGGAGCAGCTCACGATGCTTTCTGGGAGCCCCGCTCCGCGTCAGTAACGTGTCCGGTTCTGTATTCATGCTTCAAAATTATGAGTCATTGACTTGATTGAGCCGCGGGTCGCGATCATTTCCTTTACATACGACAGCTTTCGCTGCAAGTTGGCTAACTTGCTCTCCCGGATAACTCCTGCTGACACTTCGTTCTCTCCTTTGAATGAATCACACGATTGACGAAACGTTTACCAGGTGAGGATCATGCTCAAACCTCCCCCGGGAGATAGAAATTCCTCCGCGTAGCGATGCCTATGGGTTTCGGGGCGGCGATCGCTAAACTCGTTCGAGATTCATGAGGGAGTTCCCGCTCATGAAGATTCTCCGCCGAAAGATATCCGAGGGACAGCTCCCATTTTCCTAGAAACGGGTTCCTTGTCCGCTTTATACAGGTAGCGTTTCTGGAATACTCCCCCTGGAGATCCGGAGTGGTTTATCTCGTCCTTAAATGTCCCGATACAGGCTGAACTTGGAGGACACATCTAGAGTCGAGAGCGTTTCTCGGAAAAACCCGAGTTCACGGTCGCCTTTCCCGTATCAGGGATTATGGTGGCCAATGACATCTCGATACTACGCTGAAGCTCATCCCTGGGCGTTTTGCCTGAGCCCTTCACTAGGGTGATATCCTACTACTCAACTTTTGGAGCGACCCTCACTTCCGATCCGAGTTGGGCCCCGGAGAAGGCATCGATTCCTCGAGAGCTCCTCTGAAACAGATCCTGATAAGCTATGATGGAAACATACACGGAGAAAACTTCTCCCGCTAGCTCGGTATTAGTCCATGTATGTCTCCCAGAAGAACTGCCGATAGTCATGAATCAGGAAGTCATGAAAATTCTTCGACGATCATTTGGTCCATCGTTGTATATCGGCTGCTGCCAATGATGCGTTCCTCGGACATCTCGGGAGACTCACTCAGACTCCCTTCCTCGAATACCCGACGCGGCCCTCCGAGATTTTTGGGCTGATTCTCTAGTCGTCCATAATCACAAACGGAGCTCTGTCACTTTTGCGCCTCCCGCGTTTGTCTTGCGATCGGATAGATCCCGCAGCGGACCCTCGCTTCCCGCGACAGCCAGAGTCGTCGACAGCAGCAACACAGCGTGAGTATTCGAAGCGAAGGCCCGCCCCTTGAGCCGAAGCTACGGCAAGGGAATGTTTATCGGCTGCAGAAGACAGAGCAGAAGGAGGGCCCCTTCGTGCCTTGACAACGGCCGAGCGTCAACTCCTAGTTGACTCTTACGAGCGCTCGTTTCGCCGCATGATCCGACTCGCGAGAGCTCAACTCGAACCCCGGTCTCCGAGCTGCTCCTGACCGGTCCTCAATCTCGGAATCAGCTGACTTCACCGAACACTCCGCTAGAGTGAGAATAGGGCTCCTCGGAGCCAGTGAGTCAAAGTTTTCAACGCGTAACCAAGCAACGCTGCCAAATATTGTTCCTCGGAATCCCGAACCTGATCGTGTGTGATTCCGTCTGGATGTGTTGAGTTCACCGATGTATCAATTTTTCCGCGATCGCTTCGTCTGGTGAGTTGCTTTCGGTTCGCGAGTCAATCCTTATCACCTTCCCCTAGGAATTTCGTCCCGGGAAGCATTTCGAATCAGCAGGTGTTCGAATATCCTGTTGATTTTCGACGTTGGATGGATGACCGAAAATTGAAATATTCTGCGTGACGACTCGAGTACGTTCGCTCTCGTATATTCCCGGCTTCGCAACTCGGCAGGCAGCTGTAGCTCGGCCCGTCGCGCTCGGATTCGCTATTTCACTCTCAGACGAGGATGCCGTATCCGGCTTGTCGCTCCTGTATTAAAAGACGAGGTCGGGGCGCCCTAAGGCGAGGTCGGGGCTCACTAAGACGAGTACCCCGACGATGAGCTGCTGCTACTACATCACCGATAGTGCGTGACCCTGAAACTGAGTCCAGTCCTCAATTTCAGAGATGTTCCTCATCTTGACCTTCCTCCCGCTGTTGGTCCTAGGACAGGACTGTCCGCGGGGCTGGCTGGAGTACAGCGAGTCGTGCTACAAGTTCGTGAGATCTCCTCAGAAAACTCGTGAGGATGCTCGAGATCTCTGCGCCGCATACAGCGCTCGTCTGGTGAGCGTGAATACCTTCGACGAGCTCCAGTTCATCATTCGATGGCTTCGAGCTAACGACCCCCAACACCGGCGATGGTGGACGTCTGGATACGAACTGAATGGAGCCTGGTCTTGGGACGGGGACGGCTCGTACTTCAGTAACATCGATCAGTTATGGCTCCCGGATACTGGAAACACTATTTGGAATTACGCCGCCTACAGGTATATCCCGGATATATTGAATTCTCTATCGTTCATGACTGACTCAGGTCTCTCCGTCTGCAGAGATCTAAAAGTGCCCCTTCCATACAGCTACTCCTCGCGCTATCATCGATGGGGCTTGGAGAGAGCCTCTCCGACGGATCAATTGGCACTGATTTGCGAAATCTTCAAAGAGAATCTGCACCAAATCATCCTACAGGAGAGGACCATAGATTATGGGGTGATTGAGTTGGATCCTTTGCGGATCCCTCATGGTCCCTATTTCTCCCGAGAGCCGAAAGACGTAATATTCGATCAGAGCGGCCGCTCTCAGGTGGATCATGTGTCTCTGCGCTGCGTCGCCTCCGGCTATCCCACTCCCACTTACAAGTGGTACCGGGTGAGTTCGAATTCGGCAGGATCCTTCGCCCGAAGATTGGAACCAATATCCGGACTGCTGATGCTCCATCGAATTCAACATTTTCACTCTACTGTCGATGTCTTCCGCAGGAAGTATTCCGGGGGGACGACGTCATTGCTCGAGAAATAGACCCACTCGAGGCGGACCGTTTCACGCAAACGGATGGAACCCTCATAATCTCGCATCCGGAGCCGAACATTGATCGCGGGAAATATCACTGTATCGCTGAAAACGTTTTTGGGAGGGTCAAATCACGCACAGCGACCTTGGGATTCGGATGTGAGTTTTCCGAGCGATGTCTGGTTTCAGAAAGGGGTTTCACTGTCTCGATTTCAAAACTATATTATATCATGTTTTATTACAAATCAACACCGGACGGATGAAGCTCCACGAGAGCGTCTCCGGCAGCGATGCGAAGCTTTCTTTGTACAAGTGCTCAACAAAACTAGGACAAACAATAGCACCACTAGGTATATCATCGAATAGCTTCTTCGATCCGTTCGAAGAAGTTCTCCACAAGTTCTCTCGAGCTCCACACCTCCGCCACCGAGTCGAAAGACGGCGCGTATAGAACTTCAATATCATGCTGAAAGAAATGAAATATGATGTGGGCGCCGTAGCCCGGCCGACCGGGATCGGCTCTGTCCGGGTTTATGTATGAGAGCAATCCGGAAACGTGCACATCAGAAAGCGAGAAACTCAGAAGAGAAGCCGTCTTAGAGTTCTGGCGCAGCAAACGCAGTTCGTGGACGAATTTCTGGATCGCTGGCTTGGCAAAGGTCGCCATGGCCAGCCGTGTCAGGGCTCTGAAGAGTTGCGGAGTGAAGAAGATCCTCTCGTCCCGGACGCAGTTGAGCTCGTTCAGCTCGTAAGGCAATTCGATGCCCTTCTCCCGGAGCATATCGAGACCGTCGGCGATCAAGACTCCGTAGAGGAGCTGCCAACTCTCAGGCAAAATGAAGTTCTTGTCTTTCTCCTGCATCTTCGCAATCACTCGCGCAGCAACCTGTTTCATACAGTCGGAAACTTGCGTACGGAATACTTTCTCTTCCTCTTCGAAATGAGGATCATTCGGCTTCACAGCCACGTAGGGAATGTATTCGGCTTCGTACGGATTGCCGATCGATTCCATGAAGAGTTCGGCGCTTCTCCTGCAACGGGATTCGTCAGAGGCAACAACTCGCGCGTTTCCAACATCGGTGACAAACGCCCGATATCGGCGTTTCATTCTCGTGCCGAGTTTCGTCATCTGCTCGGCTCCGAGTGCTGTCAGATCCCCCGGCTGATTGTATCCGAGCGACGGTATCGGTATCATGGGCTGCCGCTCACCGTGACGGAACAGAACGGTGAGATCCTGCAGATCTTCTAGGGCGCTCTTGCCCTCTGTCGTCATGACGACGTACAGTCCCACCGCAAGCAGAGACAGGAGGAAAGCAATTGTCAGGACACTTCGGCAGATGTGGAAGACCCGTTGAGTCTGGGGCGCCAAACAGTGATAACTGCCCGATGATTGTTGAAGCGAACTGTCAATGACCACACTGCCGTAGGTTGTAGTACTCATGCTTGATGTATCAGCTCGAGGCGGTCGTTGAGCCGCTTGGAGTTAACATTGAGCGGAGGGAGAATTGATAACGGCTACGTAATCCTCCGATAGCAGTCTGCGGTGTAGCTTTCGCGAGTTTCTTCTTTGCACGGCGAAAGACATACGCTCAGACTCGGACCACTCACAACAGCCCTCGGAAGCGCGGGTATTCGGCTCCAAAGAAGTAGTGTGAACGAGCTTCGGTAAGGTGTAACAAGGATTGTTTACAACTACAGCGGCGCCGTCAATTCGAACTTCGGGTAGCTGAGTGACGTCACGATGACCCTATTGTCGAACATTTGACTCTATGGAGAGCCCATCAAATGAGTATCCGAATCGTTGGCAGTTGCGGCTGTTAAAGCGAACTGAATGAGCGTCAGATTAGAGAGAGATGCGATTTCCAACGATTGGTAGATGAATGCAATTCTCCTTTCAGATATTGGAGAGTTCAACAAAAAACGTGCTCCGGATACAGGAAGAGAATATTGGGGGAAATCGATAGCATGCGATGAACCGCAACACTATCCCAAAGTGAACTACTATTGGACCAGGAACTCTTTCCCGAACTTCGTGGAGGAGGATCGACGAGTCTTCGTATCACACGATGCGCATCTCTACTTCAGTTCACTGGAGAAAATCGATAACGGGAATTACTCCTGCAACGTTCAAAGTGACATCAGCGACACCGGGAGGACGGGACCATTTTTCCCCGTGATCGTGGAACCAGGCTGTGAGTATCTCGCGTGGCTCCTGGGATCTCCTCACCTTGACATCTTGTCGCGCACCCTCACTTGGCGGACTGTATTTGTGGTGATAGCACTCTATGGAATTCCCAAGGTGCTCTCCCGCAGCTGGACCGAAAGTCGCGATGACTAATGAGCCGGCTCTCATGTTGCTTGTTGCGGTCCCTGAGCTATCAATCCCTTGATGACTTGAAATTAGCTGTTTTCATTTTCAGCCAGCGGACAAAAGCTTCTGTTCCCGAACAATTTTCCGAAGAGTTTCCCACAGACTATCCTTGCGGGGGATCGTGTTCGATTGGAGTGTATCGCTTACGGATATCCTGTGCCGCGCTATAATTGGACTCGGGTCAACGGCGATTTACCGTATGGAAGTTACGTCGAGAGCCACGAAAGAGTTCTAATAATTCCGAAGGTCCGGGTCGAAGACGAAGGCGAATATGTCTGCAGCGCCATCACCAACCAGCAGTCCATCCAGAAGTCCCATCACCTCTCCGTGCAAGCTCTGCCCGAGTTCACGATACCCTTGGAGAACCAGATCTTCGACGAGGGCGCGACCCTCACGTGGGAATGCGAGGCTTTCGGCATACCGGACATCAGCTACGAGTGGTATTACAACGGCAGACCCCTCAACGACACCTCGAATCTCCATCGCCTCAACAGATACATCATCAATGAGAATATCCTCATTATCAATCAGGTCGCGAGAGGCGGCGAAGGCGAAGGAGGCGACGAGGGAATGTATCAGTGCATGGCTCGGAACCAAATCGGCTCTGCTTTCTCGTCAGCTCAGCTGAAAGTCATCTGTGAGTAGCGATCCCATAGATGATTACTCGACATTTCATTCCATCAGACGATGAGAGAGAGAGAGAGAGACGATGATCGAGCTAACCATGGCGTACTTCTTCTGTTAGCATTGATGCCGAACTTCTGGAAATACCCTCTAGAAACGGAGCTGTATGCGGCCGAAGAAGGGAACTTGACGATCTCTTGCCGGCCCGAGGCGGCACCCTTCCCTGAATTCTTATGGAAGAAAGACGGTTACAATGTGGGTACATCCGGGGGAGGTCGTGTCTACATTATGCCGAACGGTTTCTTGCGCATCAATCCAGTGAGGATCGAGGACGAGGGCAATTACACCTGCATTGCCAAGAACATCTACGGGCAGGACATGTCTTCTGGGAGGCTGATCGTATTGCGTAAGTTCTGGAGCGCTTGCAGATAGGATAGCGGGGAGGCTCTTCCTCTTCCTCTGGACATTTCTGACTCTTGTGAAAAAAAATTCCAGCTCCTCCGATCGCGTATCAGTCGCCGCCACCTCGTCTAAGTGCCGTTGTCAATGACACGGTAACATTGCTGTGCGAGGCCAAGGCTTCGCCTCTTCTCGATCTGTCGTACACCTGGACCCACAACGACTTGAAGATCGATTGGCGTCGAAGCCCACTGTACGAGACGAAATATTCCATGGTAATTCTCGAGCTTCCTCGAAAGTCTGCGTGTGCGACAATCCGAACGGGAGTTCAATCTACCCGCGTCGAGGGGCCAGAGGAATAATTCGATCGTTGTATCCCAACTGGACGGCAGACATGGATCGTGGATCGATCGTCATAGAAAACCCACTCGATAACATTCCCTCTCACAATTCCTTTCACAATTTCAATTTCAGCCTGAGGCAGGAAATCTTGTCATTTACAATGTCACCTTTGCCGAGGCCGGTTTCTATAAATGTATAGCGAAGACTTCTATCGGACGCGTGGAGATGCGCACGGAGCTAATCGTCATCGGTCCGCCCGGCCCCGTTGGAGCTATCAAGGCAGAGAACGCAAATGAAACATCGGCGCTTCTGTCATGGACCGATTCCGCGACAAACGGGCGTCATTTCTTGGGATATCTGATCGAAGGGAGAACGAACCACAATCACACCTGGAGACTCATTGCCAGTAAGTCAATAAGACTCAGGACGTCGATCAAGCTCGCGCATAGATCACCCGAGTCATATCGTATAAAACATTAGGGAGATACGTCGGAAGAATTGACCTGAGAAGGAAATTGTGCAGACAGAGATCTCCCCGCTTACAGACTACACCACCGGCGACCGTTTCCGCCTAGAGGCTCCATTCCGCGCCGCGAGACGTGCGTATCAACTACCTCGTTGGTCTCTTTCACCGTATAGTGGGTACGAGTTCCGAATCGCAGCCTACAACGACCTCGGCATCGGCGAATTCTCCGAACCTTCGCCTGTGGTCACAACTCAAGAGGATCGACCTTATAATGCACCGAACAACGTTGGTGGAGGTGGTGGCAAAGCTGGTTCTCTCACAGTGACTTGGGAGGTAAAAATGCTCCATGATGCCTCCTCTGTCGTATCCGATTATTTGTAGATTCGATCACTCAGTTCCGCGTTTATTCCGGAACGTGGCTTTAAAGCGATCGTTCTCTCCTCTCAGCAACTTCATACTGAAGATTGGAACGCTCCCCAAGTGTGGTACATCGTATACTGGCGACCAGCTTCTGAAAAGGGCGAGTTCAACAAACAGAACCTCAAGGAGTATGGAAATGTTGGACTTCACGTGGTCAACGTTGGCGAAGAGAACTATTTCCGGCCCTATACTGTCATGGTGCAAGCTATGAATTACAAAGGAGCCGGTCCCACTTCGAGGGAGGTTGAGGTTTACTCAGCGGAGGCCCGACCTGAGGTTCAACCGACGGGAGTGTATGCGCACGCTTACAACTCCACCGCTCTTAATGTCACATGGACTCCGCTAGATGTAACCAGAGAGAAGATTCGAGGCCGTCTAATCGGTCACAGGGTGAGTGCAGAAACTTCGAGTAAAATCTGGATACGGAGCTCGTATTTCTTGCATGGCTCTGAATAATATATCCCCCGCCCATTTTCCCAGATCAAATACTGGCGCAGCAATGCCGACGCCGAGGTGGACTTCCTCGTGCTCCTCAACCGGGGCTTGCGAAACTGGGCTCTGGTCGTAGGTTTACAGCCCAACACGGAGTATCGAGTGGCCGTCATGGCCTACAACGATGCTGGAAGCGGACCCGAGTCCGAATATTTCATTCAGAAAACTTGGAAGGCTGCACCGCTCCGTCCACCGACGTCTGTCAAGGTTCGACCCATCAGTGATACAAGCGTTAAGGTCACTTGGCGAGGAGTGGTGCCTTCGATCGAAGAGGAGTCCATTCAAGGCTATATGATCCGATATTGGGAAGCCGATCAAGATTACACGCAGGCCAGAGAGGTTCGACGCATTCTGGACATTCACAGCTCCGAGCTCGATGGCATCGTGTCGGATCTCGTCCCAGGGAAAGTTTACAAACTTCGAGTGCTTGCGTACTCGCTGGGAGGAGACGGCAAGATGTCCTCGCCGCCATGGGAATTCAGACTTGGCGACGGCGTTCAATCCTCCCTCACGTCGTCTTCGCTGAAGTTTGTTTCGAGTATCCTGACCCTGCTTTTCGGCTTGTTGATCTGTCGGATTTAATAGTCCTAGTGGGCTCCGTTCCACAGAGCAGCTAGATCATGTCACAGGTGTATAAATCGAGCGTCGCAGAGACCCGCCGATCGAATTCCACCGGAACAACGAGGGGCAAAGGCTCCAAATCCACAGCAGCTAGGAAAATAACGGCCCAAGACAGCGAACCGTCTCTGTCGGGGAAGAGCGAACGTTGACGAAATCGCGAAGCCTCGCTACAAGTCTTCACCGCATAAGCATAATCATTTGCAGCAGAGAACGGCTTACTATTTTTCTTGGATATGTTTCAACTACTGACTCAGATGCTGAACGAGAATTGTAGCCCGAGATTCACGATACGGTGTCACCGATTTTCTGATTTGCCAAAATGACGATATATTATACACTTATCGCTCGAAACATTCCATCTTTCGGAGAAGCATTGTATACACTGCCGACATTAGCCAAGAGCTCTCCGGCACAGCTCGGCTTATTTCATCAAAGCCTTCTCTACGGTGAGCAATATTTTTCTACTACCTAACTTATTGAGCGTATAGGAGAGGTTTTCTACAGATCGAGCATCAGTAAAACCCGGAGCTTCGTGTGAGGCAGTTTTTATAGTAAGGATCGGAGCTCCGTGCTGTACATACTGGAATGGAACTATAATTGATGTTACTGGAGCCAGCGATGAAGTTTTCTACGGATATTTCTATGGAAATAAAACCATTTGGAAGAACCCAGTTCCCTCACCGTCTCTACTCCCCCGTATGGATTCGGATCGGATATCGTAAAATGAACGCGCTCTGCGAGCTCGAGGATCGCTTCTCCGACCAAGAGCCGTATCGAGCTTCAGGTGAGCGTCGAGGAGCCGGGCGGGTCCCTCGAGGCACTATACGTCAGAGACCTGCGGGAGAAGCTCACCTGAGCACAATACGGCGAGTGAAGGTGTTGAGGAGGATGCCGCGATTCGCGAATCCGCGGAAAGTCTTTTTGAAAGGGCGGCATGTCGTTTGGCTCCCAGCTCTCACCACTAACAAGACAGAGAAATAGCTTGTGCGGTTCCATCATCAGCGATATACCTAGCTTCGAGGGTCGATTGGTCATCGTCGACAGGTAAGAGTAGGTACATCTTTTATTATACAACCAGGGTAGAGAGTTTAACGCTTCCATAGATTCACAATCTGAGATCTGCTAGACTTCGAGGAGATCCTTGACAACATGGCTTATCTAGCCTAGCCCGACGACGTCTTCAGAGCAAAACGGAATCATCGTCGTCCTCCTATGACTAGTCATTAATTATATGAAATTACTCTCAGTTGGAGGCCGATCCGCCCGGTCGCGGTCTGACTCCAAGTGCGTTCACAAGAACAATGGACAGCGCGCTTCAGCTAGAGTGCTGAGAGGCGTTCCGTCCGAAGTTGGGGTTCCGTGTATATGTCCGAAGGGTGAAAACTGCTCGAAAGGGTTCGGGCCACTCGATCGCCACATCAATCGATCGGGGCAGCTTCAAAATCGGAGTCTAATGTGAGCACGGGACGGATATGATGTTCTCGCCCCGATTCGTGTGCAGGACGTCCGTAATTCCGTTTCGTGGAACGAGACGGGAGGCTACGATCGCAAAAAGCACCGCTATTGACCGCCCCTGGGAGATGATCGTCTCTGGCGTGACAGGGATGATGATTCGTTGGTCACGATTCGTTTCGTCTTCCCGAAACCCTAATTTTTCTGCCTGATTTCATCACCAAAACCGGAAGTCAACTACAAGAGCTCAACATGGTCGGAAAACTGCAGAAAATCTTTCAGCATCACCGGCAGTGAAATCTGCCGCAAGCTCTTCTCCAATGGTCTTTTAAGGAGACGTCGAACGCTAAGCCTCGCAATTTTCCTCAACGCCAGAGGAGTCCTACAGGCGTCGGCTAGAAATTTCTCTACGGGAGAATCTCTCGGTGTCACCGTTAGAGGCAACGGCTCGATCCCTTTCCTTAGATCGTAACCGGCATCGATGAGCAGTCGAACGAGCTCGAGGCTTCCTTTGTTCCGAGCAATTCTCAGGACATCTATATTCTTGTAGGTGAAGGCGTGGCCAGCATTCGGATCGCAGCTGAAAACAGAGCGCGGTATAGGTTAGATGAGAAAGGCTGGGTTGGGGTCGTCATAGCCGTATCACTACCGAATATTCACCCATTGGCGACGAGAAGCATGGAGAATTTCAGTTTACTGGATTTCACCGCCATGAAGAGAGCAGTCTCTCCTTGGACGCAAGTCTCCGAGTCCATAAGATCGAAATTGAGTTGGACTAGAATCTTTAGGAAATTCCTGAAGAGGGGTAGATCGAATGTCTCTGCGAACGTTTCCACGAGGATGTGTAGAAGTGTCTCGCCTGGAGAGGACACGCCGTCAGAGGAGACATGATTCCCGATTATGAATTATCATGCTGTAGACTCAGCGATATCCGGCCACGATAACATACCCGATATAGAACTTCTTATGGACAAATCTGCACCATGGTTCACCAGGATCAGGAATATATCGAACTGTTTCTCTTTGATTGCAACCAGCTGGGGTGTCTCACCGACTGTGTTTCTGGGTAAAGGCACCGGAGTATAAGGCAACAATATTTTGACCTGGAAAGGGGAAACTTATGGATATTCTGTTTTCAGAACTCGTATGTAACCGAAAGATAGAACTGCCCTCAGCGGCCTCTCCCATCATGTGTAGCTCTACCATCGTGGTCGCCACCTGGGATGCTCGTCGCTTACCATATGCGGACTGTGATGGTAAATGGCCGTCTGTAGCAGGCCGTCGGAGGGATGGTTCCTCGCGCCAGATCTAAGCAGGAGATCCACGACTTCAGCATCGTTTGCCCACACTGATGCGACGATCGGACTCTCTCCGTGGATTTCTCTCGCATTCACATTCGCGCCGTGATCAATCAGAAGCTTCATGATTTTCAGATGCTTGTGCTGTAGCGCAAGCATCAAGGGGGTCCTTTCCGACGAGTCGAGGGCGTCGATCTGGGCTCCAGCTCGGAGAAGAGCTGCGCAGATCTCCAAGTGTCCGTAAGAAGCTGCCATGTGAAGAGGGGTCTGCTTCTCGCTGAAAACCGGTAGATTCGTTCGCATTCCATGCCGCTCCGAAATCGCTGCCTTCCGAATGAGGTCACGATAGATTCTACCGAGTCGCTCGACAGAGCTACGAGCTCCCTTTCCGACATACATCGATTTTCCGCTGAGTCGAGCCCCGTTACTGATCAATATTTCCACATTCGTCAAACGACCTCGGTAGACGCTCACGTGGAGGGGCGTCATGCAGTTTGCGTCTGACGAGTTCACTGAGGCTCCTGAAAGTATCGGATTAGGTACTTCAATTGATTCGAGAGACTCAGAGCTCGATGTATCCTAATGATTAGCCTCCACATTTGCCGGCTGGGCTCACCGCGCTCTATCAATAAGTTCAGTATATCGCTCGACTCCAGTTCAGCTGCGTAGTGAAGTGGCGAGCGATCGAAGAAGTCCGTGCGGTTGATATCTACTCGGGTCCGCCTCTCGAAGGAAGATGAGCGCGTCTGGGGACACAGCACAGAGTCACGGCAGGCCTTGGGTGAAATCGCTGCGTTCTGCTTCTGAAATTCAAACAATAGTAATAATCATAGATGCATAAAAACTACTGCTTGAATTCTGATATTCTGCAGTACTACGACTTCGGTGTACATATGTCCGTGATGACAGATAATAAGACGAAGTCCACAAAATCGCTGGCACCCAGATAGAGGATCTCACCAGTCTGGGTGAGCCCGAGGAGCTTCGGGCAGTACGCTCGTCTTTCCCGCGAGACGGTTCTCGCAAACATATCCTTACGGCCTCTGCATTGCCGGTGCTCACAGCTTGACCGAGGACAGTCATCCCGGATGAGATCAAGGAATTCACTACCAGACCTGGGTTCGCGGCTCGGTGGAGCACTTCGGACAACTTCTGCATGTTGTTGCTGAAGAGTGCCGACGAAGCGAGTTCAACTTCGCCGCTCGATATAGTTTTTGGCATCTCTCTGCCGTGGGAAGACCGCGAAGAACGCGAGGTCACGCTTTCAACGGAATTCTTCTCCATGTTGTTGCTGAAGAGTGCCGACGAAGCGAGTTCAACTTCGCCGCTCGATATAGTTTTTGGCATCTCTCTGCCGTGGGAAGACCGCGAAGAACGCGAGGTCACGCTTTCAACGGAATTCTTTCATTGCGAACTAGGGCGCGAAAAGCTCGCCCTAGTGATTCGCACTCGAACCATCCAGATGCAGGACTTTCACAGAGAGAGCTTCCTTCCGAGAGGTCACATGTCGTGTCACAGACGTTAGTCTCCTCCTAGAACACTAGACAATTCACGTATTTGACGGCATCTTGAAGCTTTTGGCCGTTATACTCTAGTGCGCAGTTCACTCCGAATTCGGTCAACCACCATTAGGCAGGAAAACTCTCAATGGGGTTGAATGGGGAACGGCATTTTTGTCCCGCAGAGAGCGGAGTATGCTGGAGCTGACATCAAGGAATGTCCCTTAGACTTCATGAGTGGTGCGCGCGTGAAAACAGGCGGAGAACCCCATTCATGATGAGATGGTCACCGGGGGAGCGCGACGAGGATGATGACGATGATTCACAGGCACGGTCTCGTCCGAACCGGGCGGGTCGTTCCGCGCTCTCTGTAGCCAGACTTCCACTTTGCGAGTGGCCAGGACGCCGAGCTTCCCAATCTCCTCTCCCGCATTCAATTTCATGTCGCAAATCGAGCGAGTCCCCTTATCCATGAATTGCGAAAGCATGAACCAGAATATCGCACCGGGGAGATGACCACCTCTAGAAGTTCTATGAGGCAGAGCTTCGGATTCGCTCTTCGTTCTCCCTCCAGCGACGGCAGACCAGAAACGCTGCCTCTCTCGTTGATCCGCCCGTCGCGTCGATTCCATCCACGATCGTCACCGGCCGATGTCGGCACGCTACGAGCCGGTATATGTATATTCCCGAAGAGGAGGGGCTCGAAGGGGAAACGTCGTCTCTCTCGTTTCTCATGGAATCGTCGTAGGCGCGGGAAATGTGACCTAAGCTTCCAGAAAGCAATGGATGAGCGACGAGGATCGTTTTGATTGGTCTCCCGTCCGCAAATTCCCATGAAAAAAATGTTAGCTAGAGAACATCATTAGAGTTTAGTTCCGGAAGCAACATGACGGGAGGAACCTAGGTATCCGTGGAAGGTAGAAGCAGCCCTGCTACCAGAGTAATGCAACGAAATTTATTTGACTTGCCGCAGATTCCGAGTGACAGGAAACAACAGGTAGGAAAAATCACGGACCGCGGATCAGAGTCCCACGTCAATGTGGGTATAGTCGGGTCTGTCGTGCAATTCCCCAATGATCCGGATGATTGATCTTCTTTTCTCACGAATACGCGCGGGTGTGACTTGCGCAAAGACATCAACGGACAGCCTTTTATCCCTCGCGTACGCTTTGCACGCTATTTCGGTAAATTCCAGTACGTAGACGCCGCAATCACTAGAATTCGTTTGTGATGGGCAGTTCACTTCGTCGATGGGAATTGGATCTTTGGAAAAGCAAGGAGATAGTTTTTTGCAGAAGCTTCGGGCATTCGCTTTGTTCATCGGGGGTGACGAGTCTAGGTGAAGAAACCTCTTATCGAAATAAATGATGAGTGACCAATGCGATCCGCCTCCGTGGGATATTTCACAATTATTCAGTGGTATGAAGACGAGTCGTTGCTCTGAAATGTTTCCGAAGCTTTGATGGAGCTCATCCGGCGCGAGGCTCTTCATCCACTGGACCACTCCTGCCGGTAGAAATTGTATCTCGTCCCGAAATCGGTGGTAGACATTGTTTTCGAGATACTCGAGGTAGAACGAGATTATTTGATCGTTGAGCCAGTTCCCGTTGTCGAGAGTCGCCAAATCCGAAGTCCGTAAAAGACTGTCGTGGAACGAGAGAACTGTCCGTTGATCACCGGCCTCAAGCTGACTCGGAGACATACTGCCGCAATACCGAAAAGACCTCGTGAAGATGTCCGCGAGTCACTTCCTCACTAATTCCACCGGTGAATCGAGAGTCGAGAGGCTATGGGTGTGCACCTCGAAGAACGGAATACATGAGAGCGGCGTTACGAATTGCATAGATAGGTACCTTGTACAACCCATCTGCGCTGGTCTAAGACTTGCTGTTTACAAACACGATCGAGTGCAATGTTCCGTCGTTTAGGTAAGCGGCAGAGCCCGCTCAAAACGGCTAGTGACAGGACCGTCGACTAGCTCCGAGCCAGTGTGCTGACTTCAAGAATTGAGTAGAACTCATAGAGGAACCAAAGCATCGTCTCCAACGATTTAGGGACGCCATGGGAGATGGCGAGAAGGAGAAGGGTCTCAGCATACTTCTGAGAAGATTGTTCCATTGGGGCCCCTTCGTGGCCCTTTTTATCATCAAATTCGTCTTCTTCACATGTGTCTATCTGACTTCTCTGTGGTTGCCCCCGTACGAGTCGGTCGAAGGAACGATCAACTATTTCTTATATATGGCAGCCATCGGATTGATCATGTACAATTTTTTGTGTTCGGTGGCGTTGGGGGGAGGTTTTGTTCCGAAAGGATGGAAGCCGGTGAGTGCAGCAATTGGTCTCGATATCGAATTCGTCTGAGGGATTCTCGACTCTCCCTGTTCGACTGAGTCGCCCTCTGAAGGGAAGCCAGTACCCTCGATTCGCTGGTGTCACCGTGCGAATTCTATCAGACACTTTCTTCTATCAGACACATTGTTCGCTTTCAGGAGAGCCCGGCGCAAGAAAGCCTGCTGCAGTATTGCAACATATGCAAAGGGTACAAAGCCCCACGCTCACATCATTGCCGGAGATGTGAGCGATGCGTGCTCAAGATGGATCATCACTGCCCGTGGATCAATACCTGCGTCGGTCACAGAAACCACATGAATTTCTGTTATTTCCTACTATTTTGTGTCACGGGCGCTCTCCATTCATTAGTTCTTCTAACGATCGGACTCCAGAGAGCATACAACGCACGCTGGTATGAGGAAATGGATGAGAGACTCCGCTTCGAGTTGTTGATGCGAGAGGAGCACTATCCACCTCCAGGATATCACCCGCCAGCCATAGTTCACCTCACATTTCCGCTGGCCGTGTGCACAGTTCTCAGCATAGGCCTCGCGCTCGGTAAGGCTTCCGAGAAACTATCGATATCTAGATGAAGCTTTCGTCAATCGAATCGCTGGCGAACCGGAATAACCGCCGATACGGGATCTCGGAAACTCCAGGTGTTGTCATCGCGCTGGGATGTCTTCTATACGTGCAGATGAGCATCGTGCTCAAAAATCAGACCGGAATCGAGACTTGGATCCATCAGAAAGCAGAAATGCGGCAGGAGGAGCTCGGCACGAACGATTGGGTTTATCCTTATGATCTAGGATCGTATCGAAACTTTCGCATGGTATTCTGTGATCGGCCAAGCGACGGAATCGTTTGGCCTGTGTTGAGTGGCTGTGATCAATACACCTTAACGGTGAGTCGGACCGTCGAGTGCAGCCTCGTCAGCTCACTCAGCAAGCTCTATGGTCTAGACCCTACTGCGATCCGATCCGCTTATTTTCCCTGCCAGATATATCATGATTATCCGCTTGAGGATTCTGATACAGCACGAATGACGCGACTGTAGATGTTCTCTCCGTTCTCCGCAGAGGGAGCAAATACTCCAGAAAGAAGATAAACGAATGCGACAGAGATTGTATATCGTCACAAAAGGATTCCGAGGCGGCTTCTTTCCTTGGTGCGGACACGGGGTCTGCACTTGTGTGAGAACACCGTTGAATGGCGAACCTCGCTTGAAACTGGCGGTCGGTGACCGAGTATTCGTGACCCGATGGAAAGAGTGAGTGCATACACGTCCCCGACCGGGAGTCATATGACGGCGAAACCTTAAGGAAATACGTGGAGGAAATTCTTCCTTCTGAAACCTTTTCTTGCAGACATTGGCTCTACGGTCAGAGAAACTCTCCCTCGAGAGCCGAAGTCGAGGACGATCCTCCCAAAGGCTGGTTCCCAAGGGATTGTGTAATAGCTTGTGTGGCTTCGAGGAAAGACCTATAGGCAAGGCAGGCCAAGATTGGCTCAGGGTGGATTCGTCTGGTCGATAAGCGAGCGGGCGGAACACTGTGATTCTTCATGAGCAATGACGATCCCGCCCGGCGGCCATCTAGTCTCTGAGAGTCGCGGGACGCAAGAGTGGAGTTTCCTACGGGCGATCTATGTAAAAAGTATAATCATTCTGCCCCGGAGAACTTGAGTACCGAATACTACTCGGAGGATGCAATGGCTCGAGCAATAAATTAATCTCCCTAGATGAGCTGTGTGGTGAGAGAGCAACGAATTCTTCTAGGGAGTGTAGGTATCTGCAGAGGCAGCGTAAACGTCTCATTCTACTTCCGTACGAAGGAATGCTCCGATTGAGAACATACAGATGAGCTTTCCCTCCTCGTTCACGATTGCTCAACGTTGGGTCGTGATTCTTCCTTAGGGAGCTCCGCGGTCCTATCATCGGACTTCGGGGAAATCGATCCACGACGCAACTCATGAAGGGTATTCTGAAGGTGTCTAATCTCATATTCCAAGGTGTGGGGAGGGGAACGAAGCAATCGCGGCTCGTCAGTCTCCTCAGAAGATTGAGCTCTGCACCTCAGCGGATTCCGGAGGGCGCGTCACGCTATACTTCGAGCTTCGTCAAGACAATCTCATCGCCATCGCGATCTGGCGGCACGATCCGTTTCGCCGCGTTCCTCTCGCCTGGCCGAGTGGACTCGGAACGCGATCGTTCTTGGAGCATCCCATCGGCGAATTCGATATCTCGCACAAGAAGTAAAGACTCACAACAAAGCGGAGCTATGATGAAGCTTGGCATTGGCTTTCTCGAAATAGGTGTCGTGTGTTCTTCACGCTCGACTGCATGATTTTCGATGCGTCCTTGCCGCGAGATGATCGGACTGTTCTGGTCGCTTTGCCTCCCTGAGATCGGAGAGAATGGACTATCTCAGTTTGATTGGCATTCATTCAGTATTTCAGATTCTGGTCGGTCTCTTTTCTGGTACCTGCTTTGATTTAGTCCAGCCGACCGTAGACGTCGTTCACTTAGAGGAGGAAGTCGAGCTGGAACTGATGGGGATCAGTTTGGTATTCCAATCAAGAGCCGAAAAATTGATACCACCCATATTTTGCAGCGAACATTAACTCTATATCACTTGTAAGGGCTCGTGAAACGTATGGTTGCCTCGCGGCGAATTGGTCTTCGTCGAGTCCACCAGCGGTGAAATGGTCTCGCGTCGAAACACTCCTGCAATCAGGGCAATCAGGACAAATTTTTACGCAATCAGGGGTTCATTATTCGCGGAACTTTAGGGTTATTTTCTTACCCGGGCTGCCTGAAAAGTTGTACGATGCTCCCAAATGCTCATGTCTTAAACGGGATACGGCCCCGGATTGATATCGAATCGTCTACGGTCGCAGCTAGCGGGGGCTGGTATTCGTATGTCTACCGCGTCGTTTTCAGATTCATTATTTCGGCTAAATAATGTCGTCAGAGAGTTCGGTTGGGCTATATACGCTCGAAAGCGGAGCTCCGTCGGTAAGAATTACTGTGTTTCACCATCCTGACCCGGTCTTCGATCAAAAGCGGCCGCAGGAGTCATTAAGAACGGACATCGAGCATCTGGGAGATTTTTTCCACAAGTCCGCTCACCACCCGGATCGGCGCCAGGGGCTGGTGACTTCGCTCTTGTTATGCGAACTATCTTTCAGGGAGAAAAACCATCAGACTATCAATTGCGTCAGGATTATTCCTAGATTTTCTCGCTTCTATTTTCGAACGAAGAAAAACTCTTCGAGCTGAGTCGAGCAATTGAAAGCGAGCATCCTCGATCCTTATCTATCATTGAAGTTCTTCGACAGCGACCGCTATTTTCTTTTGATGTAGTTTTTAATAAAGTGCAAATTAGCCGAAGCTCCCGAGCTGAATAAGAGCCGAGCGTCAAATGTTCCGCGCCAAATGATTAGCATTAGCACACGGGCAGTGTCTGAAAGTCTCGTCTTGGCCGCCTGATTGCTCTGTTTCTTCCGATCACCGCGTCTTGATGAAGAGCGCCTCAGTCAGATTTATACCAAGCTATGGATACTGCCAGAGTCTAAGGAGCGAATTATCGCGTTCATGGTTCCGTGGGGTTTCCCTCGATGCGGATGGGACGATCAGTGGCCACCCATGGATTGGCGGCGAGCATCGGCGCCCGCAACAAGTTATATAATGCTACTATTTCGGCATATTAGGTAAGTTGGTTCATTTCAAGCAGTTTTGCCGAATGAGCGGGCTAAATGGAATTACTTGACGCGATTCACTTGTCATCCGATCCGCGCGCGAGATCGCTTTCGCGAACCCCTCAGTTTACCAAACAAGCATCTAATTTTATTCGATGCAAGTTCGCTTCTGAAATTCATGTGTCTTCAGCGTCAGGTTCCTCCCGATCAATTAAGCGAGGCGGACAATATGGGCCTCACGACAAGCTAACTATCACCGTAAATATTCTGTTTGGAAGGCATGCCCATCTATTATTCGAGCATTCGGGACCTCCCCGTATATTTCTTCCGTCCACCGACACAGAAGTGCGTCCGGTCACTCATGCTTGCATTCCGTATTGAATCAATCAAATATTCACCGTGAGCATACTTGAAACGGACGAGCTGTGAGAGCAGTTCTGCCAGATAAGACAGGCGCCGAACCACAAAAATATTGTCGCGTCCCGCGATCGCTCGACTGAGATCGTACTCATCGATCGTACTCATCGATCGTACTCATCGATGGTCGAGAAATTATAGAAGAGCGTATTTAGTTTCTGAACCCATAGAGCAACGAGATGCAGGTTATCGAAGACATCAGAGAAGGCATCAATGGATTTTATCGCGCGAAGTATACTCCATTCGCGCAGACCGAGTCGTTTAGCAGTCAAAACGGAACCAACAATGACCCTTCCGCTGGGCGCGATATGAGGCCGGGAAAACTAGCTCAGTTTTATCCTTCGTATACCGCATTTATGCTTCCCAGGGAAAGGTCTCGAGCGAGCAGCGAGGTTGCGGTTCGTTTTCGCGAGCAATGCCGCAGCGCCGAAGCTCAAGAATGAAGCAGGCGGGAGCATCCGGAATGGTTCGCTGATACATGAAACCGAGGAATCGCGACGGCTCAAATAGGAGAGGAGGACGGTTCAGAGCATGGGAGGTTCCGTCCCAGCGTTCAGCGAGGCGTATTGCACACAGCAGGGTATTTTCCTAAGTGCAAGTGAGGGGGACGTGCCGATCTCTCGTGCAGTCATCCTGGGCGCCAGCAGCGATGCTTCGCCTAATGACCGCTCACCGTGAATGCGGAATTGAGGAATCCTGGAATCGTTCTGGGGAGATCACGAGTCTCTCTCAATGACGGATGGTCCAAGCATTGTGAGAAACCCAGTCACGACTGCCATACCGGAAGTACATACGCCTCTCAGGTTGGAGTGCTCAAGGCTGACCCATTGACAGGGGTTGCCGATCGACTCGATTCATCATATGACTGCCTTGGTATGTGATTATTAATTATTATGAGCAGATGCGTAAAGTTCGCTCAAAACTCATATTCATGTAGGACGAGTCGGAGCACAGTCTCCTTCAACAGTCTAGAGGGAAATCGAAGCGTTCAGAGTTGGCTTCCCTTCGTGACGCAGTCACACATCTCTTTCTCCGTTTTTCTACTTTTTCTCACTTCCTTCGCGATAAGCCTCTAGTGTCGGACGCCGCTCGGGCTCTCCGTCAATGCATCGACTCACGAAGAAAGTGCTGTTCGTAGCGCGAGAAAATGCTTCTCCTACCGTTTTTGACTGTGGAGTTACTGCTACGAGTCCATGCCGATCGGCGTGGCGTTTCGACAACTGGAGGTACACGTCAAAGTGTTCATTTGTGCATCGTTCCTTGTTCGGCACGATACATTTTAATTAAGGTCCCACACCGTCGGATTCGCGCCGAGCCGTGACGCTGCAGAGTGACCCCAGCTTTTGCTCAATATCAATCATTTTGAACTTGGAAAAGCACCGTCAATCTTCCGAATGGATTCGTTGGACACGAATATCGCATCCGCAAGGGCTTCTACTGTTGCGTCGGGCATGCGTGACATGGCAGCTATGATCAATCAATTCTAGCAACAATGGAATCCAATCGAAAGAGTGAGCAACAGGTCGAGCTCGACGCAATCCGCACGTCGGACTCCGTGTTCAGCTCCGGCGTTGCCGTAACCAAATGAAGAGAAGAAAGAGAGCAAAGGTGTTGGAATACAGAGGCCAATAACTGACTCAGCGAGTTTTGGGGCATCGAAATGACCTTTTCGAGCAATCAGTTAGTCCGCTCCGAATGTTCCCCATCCTAACCGTATTTCACGAGCTGTCTCAAAATCTGGGAACATTCTCTGTCCACTATTTCCAAGCACGCGGCGTCATGTGGATTTTTCGGTCTCCAGGTCGAGGGCAATGCTCAGACGCTCCTCAGACGAGTTTTCACGGGAAATACTTTCAAGAAGAAGAAGAAGAATTCCGGAGTAGACATATATGATTCTTTCCCGACAGTTTGGAGGAATAGCGTCCTGGTACTAAAGGCTACGTGCTCATTCTCTCTCGCAATGGTGCTCCCGCGATGAATAATAATCATTCAACCGAGAGCTTCCCTCAGAGGGTCGCTCAAACCTGATTGATGATGCCCGAGACGTTTGTTTGTGAGGGAGACTGGGAAATTGTATCAGGTCCCTCAAAGGAGCATCTTTTGATTCCAGGAAATGGATGTCGAGAGCTCGACATGCCGAACCTCCTCTTCGACAGACTGGCGAACGGATCGTATTCTAACGTCAGATGCTTTCCTGGCTACTTGATGCGAGGTCGAACGAAGAATCCTCAGAACAGGCTCACCATAAAATGTCGAGGCGACCATTGGGACAGGCCGGTTCCTTACTGCGCAAAACAAGGTCGCATCCTTGCCTATTCATATGTACTTGAGGCTCCCTGCGGGTGCATTCTTCATGATCAGGAACCGGTCTCTTCTCTTTCCAGTCCTGGCCATTCTGCCCCACAGTTGCCGTTTCGAGGATAAGAGATGCCTATGGAAAACGGATGGACTCGCCCCCTTGCAGTGGCAACGGAATCGAGGAAAAACGAAGACCGCCGGTACCGGACCGCAGAGAGATCACTCGAAAGCGTCTTCGAAACGCTCAGGTCAGTTCTCTCCGGTCAGTTCACTCTACTCAACCAGTGCCTCCTCCCTGAAATCGGAGTAAGCTTCAGGAGTTTTCGCACGGGAACCTCGCTCCGCC